AAAGGAGGAATAAATATATGAGTTTATGACAACAAAAGCTTTAAGACTGTTTAACTAGCTTTCATTTGATATGATATTTGAATAATTTGGATGAAAATTAACAAAGTTATGAACAAAAGGAGAAAACAAAAACAAAAAATTATATATTTATTAGTGCAAATCTGTATACATTGAAATAAAACTTTTTGTGTTCCTTGACAATGTGTTATTGTTTATAATAAACATGATTTTACATGCTACAGGTTGTTATCTTTGGTTAGTGTGTTGGAAGTCCAACTGGACTGGTCAAGCAAACAAGTTGGTGTTCTTATTGGGGGTGATAACAATGCAAGGAGAGAGAAATTTACAATTCTGACTGTTGCAACTTGTTAGACAAGACTAGATACTCCTGTAGATGTAGTATTTTGAGTGATTTTTAATTAATTTTATTTGTTTTTGCAGAAAATTTGTGGAATGGGTTAATTGGTTAGGTCAGATTAGAGATGTTACATATTCTTGGTGATAACTTTGAAATTAGAAGGAGCTTTGGAATTCTGATTGCAGAAAGTAAATCAGCAGGTCCGATTACAGCTGTAGACATGTTTTATAAGTGAGATGAGTGGATATTTTTGCTTAACCTGAGGTGCTGCTTGAAGTTAACTTGCAGAGCAAGAATCACAGCAGGGTTAGCAAGTAAATCAAAAATTGTGAAAAGCAGGAATAAATATATGAGTTTATGACAACAAAAGCTTAAAGACTGTTTAATTAGCTTTCATTTGATATGGAATTTGTTGAATTTGGATGAAAATTAACAAAGTTATGAACAAAAGGAAAAAACAAAAACAAAAAATTATATATTTATTAGTGTAAATCTGTATGCATTGAAGTAAGTCTTCTTGTGTTCCTTGACAATGTGATATTGTTAATAATAAACATGATTTTACATGCTACAGGTTGTTATCTTTTGTTTGTGTGTTGAACTAGTCAAGCAAACCAGTTGGTGTTCCTATTGAAGATGATAACAATGCAAGGAGAGAGAAATTTACAATTCTGACTACTGCAACTTGTTAGACTAGACTAGGTACTTCTGTAGATGTAGTATTTTGAATGATTTTTAATTAATTATATTTGTTTTTGCAGAAAATTAGGTATTGGTTAATTGACTAGATCAGGTTAGAGATGTTACATATTCTTGGTGATAACTTTGGATTGACAAGGAATTTTGGAATTCTGATTGCAGAAAGTTAATTAGCAGGTCCGATTACAGCTATAGACATGTTTTATAAGTGAGATGAGTGGATATTTTTTGCTTAAACTGAGGTGGTGCTTGAAGTTAACTTGCAGAGCAGGAACCACAGCAGAATTAGCAAGTGAATCAAAGCCTCCGAACAGGAGGAATGAATATATGAGTTTATGACAACAAAAGCTTCAAGACTGTTTAATTAGCTTTCATTTGACATGAAATTTGTTTAATTTGGATGATAATTAACAAAGTTATGGACAAAAAAAGAAACAGAATCAGTTAAAGCAAAAATTTGTCAACACCTCTCATCAAATAAACATTTAAATGAAAGCCATTCACCAGAAGCATTAAACAAAAGGGTTTAGAGGAGCAAAATCTTAAAGCCAAGTTATTTTTCTTTCATTTGATATGAATTTGTTCAGATTGGATCAAAATTAAACAAATTATAAGCAAAACAAGAAACAACGACACAAAAAGTGTGATTTCATCACTGTATACCTGGAAAAAGTGTTATGCTTAGATAAATATCATAATACACCTTAAAAAAACCTTATAAATGGTGATCATAGAGACCATTTTAGTCTGTTTGTACTGTAAATACTGAGTTATTTAGGACGGATTCCTTTATTATCTATAATCCAGCTTGTTGAAGTGTCTTCATTGGTTGTATGCAAGCACAAAGCCATTGTACTGCTACACAAGTACATAACTAAGTACATATAAACAAGGGTAGTAGAAGGCGTGCCACAAGTTGTAACTCACCCTAATATTTGACCCTTATGGTCATAAAAGGAGGGTGAGTGGCTAAACATGGTGCGTCGGCGCTAAGTTAAGCAGGTAAACAGGTATATACCGACTTAAAACTTAGATTTACACCATATATTACCTAGTAAACTGAAATTGATAGAAATCATCAAGAAAGAAACAGAGAAACACAGAAATTAATTTTCTTTACTTTGCATTTATTCAGTTAAATAAGAAACCATTCATGCTACAATGTATACAATTAGTATAAATTCAATCCAGACACAACATACAAACAACTAAAACGCTATCCAAGCAAATATTTAAGTTTTGTTTATAAAAAACAAACAATTCAGTTGAAATATAAGAAAAAACAATGAAAGTAAGCGTCTATCAATCAATTCAATAAAAATGTTAAAAGATTGGTAACTTTTTGTAAGATATTCTGTAAGAAAGGTGAAAAAATCACTAAAATCAATAGAATATCAATGTTTTTCCTTTTTTGTGACATTTGCACCTTTATTACATAAAATTAATTATTACTTTACATTTATTCAGTTAAACAAGAAAATATTCTTGCTACAATGTATAAAATTAGTATAAATTCAACCCAAACACAACATACAAACAACTAAAACGATATCCAAGCAAATATTAATCTTTTGTTTACAAAATTACAGACGAGAATTGATTGGGAGCGAGCGAAGCGAGCGGTCTTACGGTTTTTGTGTTTCAACTTTTGTATTTTAAATCAACGAAATTTGCTCACATACTTAAACTGTAAGGTTATAAGTGCCATGCCGCGCGCCGGCCCATGTGACGCTTCGGTTCATATCGAGCCGCTCCGATACGAGCAGCAGCAGCGCCTACTTTAACGTGTTCGAGTGACGTCGCATGGCATTTCACACCGCCTTGTGCTGCTCCGTAGGCAAATACGCAGGCGGCTGCTCCGGCTTGGCCGTCCGTATTTAAAGTACCACGTTTTGGGTCTATATGCCGTGTTAATCTGCGGACTATTCTCTATAAGATAGAATAGTTAAAACGGAAATCTGAGAGATGAAATTTTTTTTTTTTTTATTACTTTCATTTGTGAATACATATAAAACTCTTTTTAATGAAGATGCCCTCAGGGCGAAACATGTTAACTCAACATATAAAAATTGTAAATCCAATATTCACGTAAAGTTTATAAATAAATATTTCGAAATTGATTGCTTGATACTTTTTTTCGACGATTTTTGATAATTAATATCCCTTAAACTAAAAGAGATAGCAACCCACGAATTGTTGCTTATGAAAGATTGGAAAATTGTCTATCAGATAAAAATATAAAATAATTATATTTCCTACAGCAAAAGGTCGAAAAACGCGACTAAAAGTGCTCAAAAGTGACATTTATCAATTTTTGCCCATTTTATTCAATCGCGAATATCTCGTAAACCAAAAGAGATAAATAAGATCTGATCGCAGCGTCTTAATCTACGGACTATTTTCTATCAGATAGGATAGTTAAAAGGGAAATATGAGAGACAAAATTTTAAGTCTTAAGAAAAAAATTGCCAAGGGGGGGGTGCTTGATACTTTTTTTCGACGATTTTTGATAATTAATATCTCTTAAACTAAAAGCCATAGCAACCAATGAATTGCGGATTATGAAAGATTGGAAAATTCTCTATAAGATAAAAATATAAAATAATTATATTTCCAACAGTAAAAGGTCAAAAAATGCCTCTAAAAGTACTAAAAAGTGACATTTTTCAATTTTTGCCCATTTTATTCAATCGCGAATATCTCGTAAACTAAAAGAGATAAATAAGATCTGATCGCAGCGTCTTAATCTACGGACTATTTGCTATCAGATAGGATAGTTAAAACGGAAATCTGAGTGATGAAATTTTAATTCTTAAGAAAAAATTGCCAAGGGGGGGGTGCTTGATGCTTTTTTTCGACGATTTTTGATAATTAATATCTCTTAAACTAAAAGAGATAGCAGCAAACGACCTGCTGATTATGAAAGATTGGAAAATTGTCTATCAGATAAAAATATAAAATAATTATATTTGCAACAGTAAAAGGTCAAAAAACGCCACAAAAAGGACTAAAAAACATAATTTAAGAAAGAATATCCAACTTGTTTAATGATATAATAATTCATTCATTGGTATGAAATCACATGTACTGTAGAAATTTGTAAGTTTTATTAAAAAATAATCAAAAATGAGCACGCTATGGGCCTCGACAGGAAATGTAATATAATATTTGAAGCGCGCTCATAATCAAGCAATAGCAATAATATAATTAGTATAATTAGCGTAGTCTATTTAATAAAAATGTACGAGTATGGGTATCAGCAACACCATTGAAAACGTTGGCGTGGATGTCGTCTAGTTGGCATTGGAGTTGTGTACGGAATGTCCCTAATCTGATTACTTCGTTGTTGATTTTGATTATAAGCGCTATTTCCGGTTGGAATTCTATATCCTGGTTGACCCATCTGATCCCGTAGTCTTATATACGTCCATTTACATCCATTCTCTGATGTAATTGAGTTCTATAAAATAAAACAGAAGAGAGAAAGCATTTAATCTGTTTAATATTCTTTGAGAATATTTATAGCTTACATCATAGTTGTCAGGTGAATTACTCATGTACTGAACACCATGCGGACATATTAAAACACTTCTATATCTGGTGGTCAATCTTGGTGATGAGTATTCCTGTTGATAATAGTTGACCACGTTGATACTAAAATGACAATACGCTCGATTCCCTGCATCGTCGCTGGCAATGTAGTTAACGTGATGTAAACCATACGAAAATGGTGAACCTGGTTCTTTAGATTTGTAAACTGCGCGGATTCCAATATTGTCTTCAAAGCGCGGCTCTGTCCAATAAACATTCTTTGAGTATTCGTTACGGGTCAAACGCACTTCCTGATTAGACGGACAATCAAACACTTTGGGTGCTTCATCATCTTTTACGTGGATAATCAAATTACATGAAGATGATAAATTGTGAGCACCTGGATGTGGGCTCCTCGCAGTAAAGGTCACCTCAAAACGACCCGCCGGTAGTATAGTATTGAGTTGTTTTCCCCAAGATGGTACCGAATGTACGAACCTCCACCAATCCACATTGGACTCAGGTCTTGATATCCTCACATTCATAACTCTTGCGCCTGTTGGGAGGACGAAAGATAGTTTACCACCACCAGGGCAACGAATAAAAGGTTTGGGTAGTTCTTGTTGTATACAAGCGTTGTGCAGCATTTCTTCAGTTAGTGGTATATTCCATTGAGGATTATGACCGTGTTGTATACACGTAAAGTTTCTTAATTCAGGGCGGATCAGTTTGTGACCTGTTCGACAATGAATACCACAAGTCTGACCAATTGCGGTTTTTCCAGTTGAACAAACATGGGGAATTATACGACCTTTCAGAGGCTGAGTTAGTTTCGGGCACGTGTTCACCTCTAGAAAATAAATTAATCAGTTTTAACATTTTATTGCATGTTTACTACTTACGTGAACAAATTGGTTCCTCTAAATCCCATTCTCCTGAGTATTCACATGTCCTTAATGCTTCCCCAATTATTTTGTGTCCATTATCGCAGGTGTATAGACACTGTGTGCCTACTTGTACATAATCACCTTCTCCTCCAGTGGTGCACTTTACTTTACCATATTTTAGCGGATTTACAAGACACTCGAAAAATGAAGTTGCTTCTTCACAGGTACGTCCATCTCTTTGTAGATCATAACCAACTTTACAACTGCATCTATGACCAGTTCGTAAATCTTCGCATAGATGCTGACAACCACCATTGTTTATTGAACATGCTTTTATATGACCTGTTACACACGTGTGGTTATTTGCTTGAAGTCTAAAACCTTTGGGACATAAACATTTGTAACTTCCTGGTATATTCCGACAGGTGTGAGAACAACCGCCATTGTGCCAGATACATTCGTTGAGATCTTTGCAAACCCTTTTATTAGGTCTAAGGACAAATCCACTTGGACATGAACATTCTCGAACACCTTTGTTAACTGTACAATTGTGAGAGCATCCGCCATTTTGTTCTGCACAAGGATCATTGTTGGTGTTATCGGGGATGTTATCGAAGTTTTCGAAACAAATCTTTCCGTGAAGAGTAAAATTTGGAGGACATTCACATTTAGTTCTATGATTCATTGTCAAACATATATGACTGCAGCCACCATTATTAATTAAACAAGGATCAATTAGTTTACATGTTTTTCCAATGAGTTCATATCTTGTTGAGCCGTCACTGTCAGGACACTTACAAACCACTTGACCGTCCACATTCTGACATGTGTGAGAACATCCACCATTCTGATTTAAGCAGGGGTCAATTTGTTCACACACTTTATTATCTTCTTTCAAATCGTAACCCTCTGGGCATGTGCATTTAGCAGGTTCATCGTTTATCTTTACACATTCATGTGAGCATCCGCCATTTTGAATAGAACATGGATTGACACACAGTGTGTTGTTCACTAAACTAAGATCTGTAGGACAGCGACATTCAACTTTTCCAAGATTATTAATGCAAGTGTGACTACAATTTCCATTGTTTTCTGAACATGGATCAATTTTTACGCAATTCTTTTCATCTTCAAGTTCATAACCCATGGGGCAATAACACAAAGTTCTTCCACGATGTGCCAAACAAAAATGGCTACATCCACCATTATTATAACACGGATCTACTGCTTTGCAAGTCTTTGCATCAGCAGTTAACTCATAATTTATTGGACAGTGACACTCTGGTTCAAAGTCTTCATTTATACAAACATGAGAACATCCTCCATTGTCTATTAAACAGGGATCTATTCTTTCACAAGTCATTCCAATTAACTCATATCCTTTTGGGCACTCACAGATGATTGAATCGTTAACAAAATTACAAAAATGTGAACATCCTCCGTTGTTTTCCTCGCATAAGTTTCTCTTCTGGCATATTTTACCAAATAATATAAACGTTTCCGGGCATGAGCAACGCACTTCATCTTCTTCAAAGTGACAATCATGCGAACATCCACCATTGTCGATCAAACACGGATTAATTTTAAAACAGATTTTATCCCGTAGTTCGTATGAATCATCATTGCATTTACATATTGCTTCGGTTGGTGTAGTATCACTAGTCAAACAAATATGTGAGCAACCACCATTATTTTCAAAACAAGGATTAATCTCTTCACATGTTCTTGTATCTATTAGTAGCTGATGCCCAACAGGACAAACACATTGGACACCTTCACTTTCATGATAAATACATTCATGTGAACAGCCTCCATTATCAATGTGACAAGGATTAAAATTCTTACAGGTTTTACGATTTTCTTGTAATTCACGTCCATGTCTACATTCACAAATTACACCTCCTTGGATGCTTCTACATATATCGGAACAATTACCATTATCGTTTATACAATGATCAATTTCCAAACAACTTCTATTGTCTTTATCTAAGTAGAAATTTTCTTCGCATCCACATTCATAAGACCCTTCAAGATTTGCACAAAGTTGTTGACATCCTCCATTATCATTTAGACATTCATCAATATCGTCACAATCGTTGCCAATTGAAGAATATCCTGGTCTGCACGAACATTCATAACCACCTCCTGTATTGGTACAATCGTGTTCACAGAGGTTTTCATCAAGGCATTCATTAACATCCGCACAGGTTCCATTTATATCCATGGCATAACCTTTGGGACATAAACAAACATATCCGGTTTCACTTGATTCAGACAAGTTAAATCCATGCTGACATTTAATTTCGTGGCATGTGGTGTTCTCACGCAGAATCCACCCTTTTGGGCATTCACAGGTAAATGAACCAGGTACATTAAAACAATTATGAGAACATAGTCCCAATGAACATTCATCGATGTCCGAACAAGTGTATTTGTCGTGTTGGGTAATTTCGTATCCTGTAGGACATGCACATTTGTAACTACCAACTGTGTTTTCGCAGCCGTCTGAACAACCGTTTTCCGGATCTTCACACTCATTAATATCTATAAAAAAATAAAAATATTTTAATGTATAATTATAATATCATCATGATAACAATGTGTGGGCGTGAGTATGATAAAAATGGAGATGTTTGATAACGAAAAATTGACTCACCAACACAATCGAAGTTCTCGTTCAGCTTGAATCCGGAAGTGCACAACGATTGACCGGTGCCAGTTACTGAAATTTTTGGTGGCGGTTTTGTAGGTGACGGGGTGATATTAACTTTTGGTTTCTGGGTTGTTCGTACTACTGGTACAGTATTGTCATGTTCGTTGTCTTCGTATTCTTCGTATGTGTATTCGTAATCATCTTCAGCATCATCATCGTCATCGTCGTTGTTTTTATTCGTGTTAGTCGTTGTGGTAGTTGTAGTGCTGGTTGTTGTTGATGGTGATGATGGTGGTGTTGATGTTGTAGTAGTAGTTGTAGTAGTGGAAGGTGGTAAAGTAGTAATAGGTAACAGCGTAGTTGTAGTAGTTGATGTGGTAGTTGTTGCAGGTGAAGAGATAGTTGGAACAACTCCTTGTTTTTCAATGTCTTCATCATACTCGTCTGGTTCATAAATCTCTTCTTCTTCATTTTCTTCATCTTCCCCATCCACTACTTCTTTATTTTGGGAAGCAGTATTTTCAGTTTCATCTTCATCGTCATATTCGTCCTTCTCGTGGTGTTCTTCTGGAACCTCATCTGTTTTATTTCTAGGATCTTCGTTATCTGCATGATCTTCAAGAGTTTTGTTACTTTCAACGGTTTGATGTATTTTTACAATACTGGCTTCTTGAATAGGACTATTAGTAGTATGGTCATTTTCATTTCCTAATTGATATACATGGGTTTTCTTTAAAGTCTCTTCTTCTATTTCTTCCGACTCGTCTTCATTACTATCAATACTTGAATGTTCTTTTTGATCAGTACTTTCACCATTATTGTCATTGGTTAATTCAGTAGTTGTAGCGATTGTTGTACTTGTAGGTGCGCCTGTAGTTGTAGTTGTAGTTGTAATAGGAATTGTCTCAGGTTCTTCTTGATCCTCATCTTTATAATCATCTTCTTTTTCAGCATTATAATCTTCATCGTCATCTTCATCTTCACTTATTCGGCCGGAATTTTCTTCCAAATCTCTAATAATTGCCGCTACTTTATCGGAACCACTTTCTTCATCATCTTTTGGTTTATCAGAGGTTTCCGATTTAGGTGCATCTTCAGTTTGTTCCGTTACCTCAATTTCTTTAGAATTTTCTGCTTTCTTGTCATTTTCTTCTAAAATGTTTTCTTCATTTTCGTGTTGTTGTCGTTTTCGTTCATTCTCCTCTTCTTCTCGTTCTCGCCTTTCTTCCTCTTCATAATCCCGAACTCTCCCATCCTCCTCATCATAATCCCCATCTTCCCCACCATCATCACCATCAATATACTCATCTTCACCTTCATTCTCATCATAGTACTCGTCCTCCGGTTGATCAGCTAACGGTTTATCTACATTCCACATAAAATACACACAAGTTTGACAAAAAATCAACTATTTACAACCCACACCCACAAAACACTACATTCACCACACTAAAAGACTTACCAATACATGTCTTCCAATCCGAATCTAGCATCATACCATCCGGACAAGAACAGTACGCCTTTCCACGTGTATTAATACATCCATGGGAACAACCACTGGTGCCAATATCGCATTCATTGACATCATCACAGGTATGCCCATCAAGGGACAACCTGGTACCATTTTGACTACATGAACATGAATATGAACCTAATGAGTTTGTACATTTATCTTCACATGGACCATGGCCATTTCTAAGGAGACACTCGTTAATATCTTCACACGATTCTCCATCAGGTAACAAGCGATAACCATGTTTACAATAACATCTAAACGTTCCGGGTAAATTTTTGCAGGTTTGCTGACATGGGTTTGAAACTTTACACTCGTTTATGTCTAAATGTGAACAATGTAATTATTAGATAAAAAGTTTTGTATTGTTTTGAAGACATACCTTGACAAATACCCCTAACACGTTTGAAACCTGCTTTACAAACACACCTCCAATGATTATGTTCATTAAGAACACATTGTTCAAACTGGTGATGACATTTGGAACAATTCTTGTGTTTCTTCTTATCATGCTGTAAATCATTGTTTTCCAAATGCTGGTTGCGTAGGTGCGTGGTTTCCATGCCAACCGAATTGGTTTGATCCGCCTGAACATGAGCGCTTCCTGAGATTTGGAATGACAATAAGTTACACCTATAAGCTATTTATAAATGCGTTGGACTATTTATAAACTACGAACGCAACGTGACGAATGTGACAAGTGTCCATTGAAGCAATTGAATAACGCCCCGGCTTAAAACTTAAAAAGACGTTATTTATATCACTTCTTGTATTTTCGGGCGACGGTGAAGGCCCACGTGCCATCATAAGTCACACACCTACACTCCGAGCATTACACTCGAGAAGCGGAAACCGAATAAATTAATTAACACTTAACCAATACACAAAACTATCAACTTAAATTAGAAAGAAACTGCGATAAAATTAAAAATGTAATAGAGTTATTTTCAGCTGATGAACTAATTAAGTCCTCATCTGTCAATGATCGACATTTGCTCATCGTATCACAGCGCTTTAATTAAGAAACCATCTTTACGTTAAATATAAGAAATTGAATAGCGACTAACCTTTGACGTTAAATTTAGCTATGCAGATTGGTCTGGCGCCGATCCACTTCCCGCCGCTGCAGGATAAGACGCCACGATGACCGTCGAAGAATTCGTGCCCACTTTGGCACTCGTAAACAGCGAGCAAATAATAGCCATCATCATCTGTTGTCGTTAAGCCGCTTTTAGTGTATTTTCTTTTGATGTAACGCGGTGCGATCGCATACGGCACAAATGGCGCCTTCACACCTCGTTGCAAACAATCGGCGTCCAGCAGTTGTTGAAAGCCGCCATCTTGTTTCACTGCAAGTTAAGCAATATTATGAGATGACCATAATCCCATAATTAAAAAATGAATAATCATTTGCAATTGCGCAAGTAAATATTTGTTATCTGCGTATATTGGGCGTGGAGAAACATTTTAATCACGCAAGTTAATCTCGACTCTAAACATTTCGGTTTGGTGTTAAAGTGTTTTGCTTCCTCCTTGTGTGAGATGCATGTGCTGATGAGCACGAACACTGACAATGCATGCTCGATGCGCGCCTAATACGGCGATGGTGATGGCTGATGGCCGATGCCCGGCGGCTGGGCTGTCACCGTCAATTGAGCGATAAGTAAAACGAGATGCGCTCGCTGGATAATGTTCGATTCGATTCTTCGCGTTCACCTTCACCGCCATCTTACAATGGCAACCAAGCGAACATTTTTCGGTTGCTGTTTGATCGCTCAAGTGTTCCAAATAAGAAGTAAATTCCCAAACGCATTCCTGTAGATATTTAGGTACTAACCAGTAGTAATTCTACGGCGATGTCGATGTTTTGGAACTTCCTTCTCCTTGGCGTGCGAATGAGTCAGGACCACAACTGGAACATATTATAGCACACATTGGGTGTTTAATCAAACATGGCGGAAATGGCAATGACATCTTTGCGAATTATTTATATTTATATAACTTGTGGTTTGATTGTTTGCACAGAAGCAGAAAGGAAGTCGCTTATTCTGTAGAATCGATTAACGCGCGTTAAACATTGCGAAATTATTTACGCTAGAAAATAGACGGCGACGTGAAACATTTGCCATGATGATTATAACGTTCAGTTACGAGTTGTGTTTCAAATCGATTTTCAAAACTGTTAGAATTTCCTCATTTCAATTGTCATTTACTGTAGATATTTTATGTCTTAATCTTGTTAAATTATGATTGCGTGGGGCGCGTGGGACTTGAACAGATTTAAATAAAAAGTTCGTAACTTAACGCCACACTTCATTTTCATTGATATTGATATTCAATTGTTAGAATGCTGCAAATAAAATTGGAAGCGATTTATACTATTCATCCGTCACTTATGGTCATCGAGAGCAATAAATTCGATCATTTCTAATCTAAAGTGAAACAATATGAAGTGAAATGAAGTACATCTGATGAAAAAGCAGCTGTGCGTATGCAAATAGAAATTGTTTCGGAGTTAGTGAATGTAAAAAAACGAGTAAAATTCGATACATTGTTTTATTGGCCTTTTGGGCCGAAAAAATGAATGAGTACAAGCAAACAAATTAGTCAAACACGACAATGGCGACAATGCACATAAAAACGCGTCTATTTTCGGGCATGCCGACGTTTTTCTGCGTTTTACAAGACACGAAACACAGTTTCATAACCGCCCACGCATTTGGTGCATCTCTTAAAGTAAAAAAAGTATCTAAACTTTTTTATAGAATTGACGCAGTATAAATAGTTTTGCGAATGAATTAATTTGTGTTAATTTCTATGATCGTAAAACATTCTATTTTAGTTTACGTGTCTCATTCATCTCTCCCACACTTTGAAAACTAATAAAAAACACAAAAGACGTAAAAGAAAATACAGTCAGCTTTTGTATTTCTAACATCTTCGAATGGTGCAATAAATGGCAACCGATTGTTTCACTTATTTCGTGTGTTTCATGTGGCGAGCAAAGCCAACAAACAAAAACTCAGCCCCGAAGGGACACGAGTCAAATCAAACAAAAGCCTGGCCTGTGTGCATGCGAGAATAATGAGGAAAATCTATTATCGAATTTTTGTTTGGAGTTGTTCTGTTTTATTATGTTTCGTTTGTTGTGGACGATGACAAATGATGGCCGATTAAAATGGACCCCTCGCCGCTTCCACCTCACGGTATCATTTATTTCTACGGTCAACTCGGCACGTTTTACATGTTTTTCATGCCTGCGCGTTGCTTTCACGCCGGTCAAAGCTCAAAAGTGCAACAAGTTAAAACAATTGTCATTTTTAAAAATATTTTTATTGCTCAAATTCAACACGGTTGTTAATATTTATATGTTTAGTGCGTATTTTTGGCGCAATGTTGTTTTGAAGTGCGACTTACATGCAAACAGCGCGAATAAGTGCAGAATCGTGTGTGGCCTCATATCGCCTTTGATATCTTGGCTGCGGCTGCTACTGCGGTCGGCAGATGAGTTGGAGACGGGAAAAAAAACAGATCTGGAGCAGGATCGGCGTCGGCACAAGCGGCGCACGCGACACACAAACTACTTATAAACTCGCGGCGGACGCGCGGCTGGACGCTCGCGACTTGCGCTCGAAAATGAGAGGAGCAGCGGGCGACGCAAGCTTTTTGCTGCGCTTTTTCCGACTTGATCAAGCCGACGCGCATCTGTGCGCATACATAACTTATTCTTCCTGTGTATTATCTAAGAATCTCAAACATTTGTTGTTTTATACTGCTGCGCATGCGCCAGTTTAAAATGTTATCGTGGAACTAATTTAAAAGTATCGTTAGGTTACAAAATAGCATTTTTTAACATAAATAAGATCTGTTTAAAGCATATACATGAAACACTTGTATTTGATAACAACTAATTAATCAGTCACTCATATATACTCGCATAATGATAGGAAAATACAATTTCAAGATGTTATTGTAAGCGTAATTGTTGTGAAAGGTTATATTTGAAAATCCTATTATCCATTTTATTTAACATAATGATTAGGTTCTATTTAAAGTGTTTTAAAGTAATTTAAATTGATTTTTTGGTGTACACAGTCAAAAGTACCACCATATCTCATCGTACTCTCACCGACACCATCAAACAACTACGACAATGTTTTATTCCACAAATGTGCATCGTACTGCCATCTTCACTCGTCTATAACAATTAAAACGTTCCACTGTTGACGCAAAAACAAAATCTAAACGAATTTCCTGTTAAAGCACAAATGTTTAAGAATATTGCTTGTTAACCGATTAAATGGTTAACATTTAATAACAGTAATTGAACATTCAAAACATAATTAATTTATTCAAACAAATAAATATCGTAAACAATAAATTTATTAAATTTCCACAACATCACCTAAAACACATCAAAACACTTCTATTTTTCAATATGAGCTTCATTTCTTCCCAGAACTGTCCATTTTTGAAGTGTCCTCAGCAGTTTGATACAACTTGAAGTCCATAGGCTTGTCATACCCCATAATCCTTGCATAATGTCCAGGATCCTCAAATAATCTAGCTTCCAGGAATAATGCTTGACCCTTAACATGAAATGTGGTAAACATGCCAGGTATATCAGGAACTGTCACATCTTCAGGTTTAAATTCCAACTGAAATTAAAAAGCTGGGTAAATTTAATAAAAAAATATGAATTAATTGAAAGTACCTCTCTCTGTAACCCAAAAAAGTTTGTAGTAGATGCAATGTATGTATCCTTTTCACTGTTATAATCCACCTTGGTTACGTACTTCTTTGTGACATAATGTAAAAGAAATGGAGTGACAAATGTGTACACTCCAACAAAACTGCATCCAACAACTAGCATTGGTAAATTTTGTAGGGCTGACAATTGTTGATATAGAAATGGTTGAGAGACAATTCCTACAAGACTAGTTGTTAATGAAAACCACTGAAACAAATATATACTTTAATTATTTTATATAAAGTAATATCTATGGATAATTACCTTGACAGTTTTAATTTGTGAAGAGAGTAAGCCAACATAAACTGTTTTGGCATTATGTGCGTTTTCCTGTTTTGAATCAGACAAATTCTTCTTCTGCAACTGAAAAGTCTGTGTTGGTGCAATAAATAAACTTTTCTGACTAAACTGATGTAATTTCGAAGCTTTTTGTTGTCCTAAACGCAACACACACTTTGTATGATTTAACAACGATGGAATTGTAGTAAAACAAACACGAATTGTAGTCATTTTGCCGGAAAAATATTTCACGTTTCTTATGAATTGTCTAAATCGTAGTTGTAGTCAACCTCACTTTTTGATTTCATAATTTTAGACCTTTAACGTAGGCAATTTAAAACACATCAGTTCCTTGATTTTGCTGAAGGTATGTTTCAGTGTACATTCAGTTGCCTAACTGCTGCCTGCAGGAATCCAATGAAAATACACACAGCTGATAACATAATATACGTTCGCATGTTTAGCTTCAGCTTGAACCGGCATGAGAGCGCAGGAAACGCGATGGCCATGGCACTCCTACCGGTATAAAAGCAGCGCCGGGCAGATGCTCGTGTTTGTAGCCGTCGTGTCGTGATCGAGTTCGTCGCACACCGCTTACTGTATAGTCGCAGACTCAGTTTGTATCGTTATTTTCTCCTGCATCGTCCTACATCATCATCAACATGGCTGATAAAGTTGCAAACCAATTGCAAGACTACAAAGCTGGTCCCAAGGTAAAAATATACAAATAATAAGCGTTTAGATTTACCTATTTATTGTGGCATATATACTATGACAAATAAACAAAATATAGTTTACGATTGCATCACGCTTGAAGATGCGTTTCAGATAGCAGAAATCAGAGCAAACTACCGTAAAATAACGTTGATATCTAGAAATGCGCAATTCATGTCGTGCTTAGATGTATCCTACGTGAACTTTGTTACCCACACATTGTTTAGTTATTCATTATATTCATATCATGACAAGTTACGTCGCAGCCGGCAACCGGCAAACGATAGCCACTTGTTTACTTGCAAGTTTTTCTCATAACAACAATTATTACATGAGAAGTTTTAAACCGGTTGAATTAAATACCTTAATTTTCGTTTTTGGTTAATATCTAGAATCAATTATCATGACTTAACAAAATTATAATTAAATAAATCACGCCACAGTCAAAAGGTCATTTTGAGACGCATGTTTTCAGTGCAATAACCTCCTGCGCTTAAAAACCGTTGTGTAATAATTGCAAGTTGCATGAAATGTTAAATACAGTACAGTACACAATAGCAAAATAAGGAGGCTAAGGTTGAAGCAACTTTCAAGTTACTTGGGCGCTGATGAACCGATGGACGTGACAATATATTCATGCGTTTTAAATTAATCTTCTTTGTCAGTAATCATATTGCATGTATGTGAAATTATACTTTTACTATTTATAAATAGTATATTTTATCATCACGTCATTTACGTCAATAATATAAACAACAAAACAAAATGATTATCAGTTACGCGGTGGGTCACAATTGATGACTTTTGGAATATTAATCAATTTCCGTGTTTAAAAACCTAGTTTTGCACACCCAATATATAAAATTCGCTCAAATTAAATAGTAAATTAATAGAAATTGATGACAGCACTAAGTTCAGAAACATAGCACACGGTGAAAGTTGAGCGAAATTTAGCAAACTCTGAAAGAGTACGAGTATAGCGCCTTAGCGTTTCAATGTGTGCTCGTTTAACGGTTTATCAAAGGCACTCGTGACGTCCTACATACGTGCAAATAACACCCAAACGGCCATTTTCAACATCAGACCAGATGTATTGACTTGACTTCCACTTGAGACTCGAGTAGGTTCAGATTTCATTCCAATTTCAAACTGATGAGCCGCGTAGATAGAAAAAGATGCAAACAACTTGTGGCATTTTTATCGGTTAATCTCTATTTTACTAAAAGCATCAACAAACCAGTTGAGTGTGTACCATCGATTGAAAACAAGTCGATTTGAAACGTTTTTAGCTATAAAAATCTAGAAAAACAGCAGGAATATTTAAAAACGCTTCAGTTTAAACGATATTAATAATCTATATAAGAAAAATAACTCATTTTGTTGTCACATACTGTATATATATTTCCTGCAAGTTCCTGCGACTCTATTAATTCGGTTGGAGAAAGAAAAAAGAACGAAAAACCGGTTGCACCTTAAAAAAAAACAGCCTACGTGTAGTCAGTCGTTTAAGTTCGACTTGTTGGTATGGATTGTCTTGTGTTGAGGTCAAAACTCAAAATGCAACCGAATTTCTGCGCTCTATTCCTACCTAGCAACACACACTCAAATAAACATAGAATATACTTCAAACAATGAAATAAAAACACTCGAGTCTCGAGATAAAACAAAAAATAATCGAAACTTTTAATTAACACACTCAACAATACTCATCCAACGGGTGAATGTTTAATTTCGCGTCTATTTTTACGCTTGTTACTTAGTGAGTAATTTTTTTGATAAAACGTTTCGGAGTGCTGGGCTTTATTTTTAACGATGTGATAAAAATGAGCAATGTGGATGCGTACTCGAATGCTAAAAATTCGCAGGATCGACAGGCGCGCGCATATTTGTGTTTGCATAATTTATTAGTGTGAGCTTGACCTTGCGATTGCCATTTGTTTGTATCGTATAAATATAAATAAACTATACTGTATGATCATCTTTTTTAATTCGACTACATAACAGAAATGATAATACTGAGCAAATATCTTTATCAATACATCAATGTAATAATGCCTAATTGCCCATATTTTGTTAATTGCACAAAATGGCGTCGCGCACGCAACCTAATCGATATTAATGTATTGTGTACCTAGTATTAAGTTGAAACAATGTTTGAACGTTTTTCACGCTTACTGACACGAACACCCAAACACACAAACGAAAGATCATGGATGATGAATATGTAGCGGAACAAAATGGTCGCTCGCTTTTCGTTTGTTGCGCCACGACCAAAGTCCACGTACTTCAACCGCAGGTGATAACTTCTTTATCGCTCAAGTATTAATTTATGGTGCTGCACCTGAAATTACAGTATACAATAATAAATTGTTTCAATTTGTGTTTAATGGATGGTTATATAAACGTTTTTTTCTCCTTTTTTTAGAAGGATCAAGGTGTGGCCACTACTGGTCATGGCGTCCCAGTTGAGACTAAGGATGCCACCATGACTTTGGGAGCTCGTGGACCTGTTTTGATGCAGGATGTCGTCTTCACTGAAGAGATCGCTCACTTTGATCGCGAGCGTATCCCGGAACGTGTGGTCCACGCTAAGGGAGCTGGTGCTTTCGGTTATTTTGAAGTCACTCACGATATTAGCAAATATTCTGCTGCTAAGGTCTTCGCTGGAATTGGCAAACGCACCCCGATTGCTGTGCGTTTCTCTACTGTCGGTGGAGAATCTGGTTCGGCTGATACCGTTCGTGATCCACGTGGTTTCGCTGTCAAGTTCTACTCTGAGGACGGTATCTGGGATTTGGTTGGCAACAACACTCCAATCTTCTTCATCCGTGATCCTATTCTCTTCCCGAGTTTCATTCACACGCAGAAACGTAATCCGGCCACGCACTGCAAAGACGCTAACATGTTCTGGGACTTCATTTCTCTTCGCCCTGAGACTACCCATCAGGTGATGTTCTTGTTCTCTGACAGAGGCATCCCCGATGGTTACCGTCACATGAACGGATATGGTTCGCATACTTTTAAGCTGGTGAACGCTGATGGTAAATGGGTGTACTGCAAATTCCACTACAAGACCGACCAGATTAAAAATATGGATGTGAACAAGGCCGCTGAATTATCCGGAAGCGATCCTGATTATTCCATCAGGGATTTGTACAATGCCATTGCCAATGGTAAATTCCCCGTGTGGAACTTCTCGATTCAGGTGATGACTGCTGAACAGGCCGCGTCTTGCCCATTCAACCCATTCGACTTGACCAAGATCTGGTCTCACACCGAATACCCATTGATCCCAGTTGGTCGCATGGTTCTCGACCGCAATCCTACCAACTACTTTGCTGATGTAGAGCAGATCGCGTTCAGTCCGGCGCATATGATCCCTGGTATTGAGCCATCCCCCGACAAGATGCTTCAAGGTCGTCTCTTCTCGTATGGCGATACTCATCGTCATCGCCTGGGTGCTAACTACCTGCAAATCCCTGTCAACTGTCCGTTTGCTGTGAGGAACTACCAACGTGATGGTCCACAGTGCATGAGCAACCAGGGTGGTGCTCCCAACTATCATCCAAACAGCTTTGATGGTCCAAATGAATGCCCGAGGGCCAAGTCGCTCGCTACGACTGTTAATGCTTCTGGGGATATTAAGAGGCACGATACTGGCAACGACGACAACTTCTCCCAGCCACGCGTATTCTACCAGAAGGTCCTCGATGAGGCAGCGCGCACCAGGTTGATCAACAACCTTGCTGGTCATTTGAAGGATGCTGCTGATTTCATTCAGGCAAGAACCGTGTCTAACTTTGGACAAGTTGATCAATCCTTTGGAAAGAGATTGGCTGAGGCGCTACAGTCCCAGAAGAAAATGTCCGCTAGCTTGTAACTTGTAAAAGTTTGTTTTTAATTCTTTTTAATGTTTTTATGATACAAATGTGGGTGTAAAGTGACTTTTATGCTATCAATTTAATAAACTGGATATATTTTTATGTCTCATTTCATGTTATTTATCAAATCAATAGTAAAGGTGATAAATATTTGTAATATGCGTGTTATGGCTGCATTCTTGGGTTGCCTAACTTGCTACGAATTGGTAGATGGCAGTAGTGGTTTTTTTGAAAGTGATTCGAATGTCCCGCGCGTCATGCGCGTCGGTGCGGCACGCCACCTTAGCGCTTGCAAGCGCAACACACATCCGGCTGGGCCTTGTTGCTCCCCAACAATGGAGTCATCGTGAAAGTGCGTCCCTCTACAACGTTCTCGTGTTACTTGTGGGCTGTGTACGAATTTCCCGAACGTCTTGCGATCGTCGACGACGATTTGTGTTCGCGTCGCGCCGTGCGAACGCGCCGATGATGGAAGCCCCCAGCTCGGAAGGCGTCGTCATTACGGACATTTCCGAAGCCGAACATCTTGCGAACGAGCACGATGGCGGCGAGAGCGGCGACCAGCCGGCGGGCGTCGGTGGCGAAGTCGACGACAAGTCACGCGTGACAATCCAGGCGGTGCGCCATGGCGGCGTTCCCGTCACGCTGCCCGTGGGCTCACTTATCACCTCCACCTTCAACGTCATCACACAGGAGCAGCTTTCGCACTTCAAGCCTATGCTCTGCGTGGACAATAATGGCTATATTGCGACGGACGCCGCCGGCGGCGACTTGAAAACGATCGTCATCCAAGAAGATGTGAGTGGAAACAGCACCCCTGCGGCGGTAAGCGCGTCGGTGGGGTCATGGAACGAAGCTGCTGGTCTGCCAATTCTTCCGGTGAGATGTAAGAACACCTCGGCGGAGTTGCACAAGAATCGCTTCGGCTCCGGCGGTCGAGGTAGGTGCATCAAGCTAGGCAACACTTGGCACACTCCCAGCGAATTTGAAGCACTTTGCGGTCGCGCATCTAGCAAGGACTGGAAACGAAGCATTCGGTTTGGCGGCCGAAGTTTGCAAACTCTCATTGACGAAGGAATCATACTACCACATGCCACGAGCTGCACGTGTTCCGCATGCTGTGATGATGAATCTGCAACTGGTCCAGTCCGGCTATTCACACCATACAAAAGAAAAAGAAGGAAGGAAATGATGGATGGTAAGTTCTCTTCAACTTTCTGACAGAAATAAGAATAAGAAATCTACTTGTAGGTTCAATGCATAAAAAAATGAAAGAGAGCGGCGATGAGTCCGACGGCGAGCCTGGAATTCTTACGAAAGACGAAGCCTGGCAGAGTCTCACCGACGGCCTCGACTCCAGTGAGTACCTGATGGAGACAACCGGTTCCGACCCGGTGCCGATCCTACGACGCCTCACCGAAATCTCCGGAGCAATCACCCGCCTCGCCGCTGAATTCAAACGTGGCGTTGAAGAACTCAAATGTATTCACAGCAAACAATCCGATCAGTTCCAGCGCGAGAAAGAGGCCGCAGTACTGGCGGCGAGGGTTGAAGCACAAGTCGCCGCGCTTCAACCTGACAATGATAATACCCTGCAGCCAGCATTGGATAACGAAGCGCATAAAAAATGCGCGAATTGTAATCGTGAGGCGTTAGCGGAGTGTTCCCTATGTAGACGAACGCCGTACTGTTCTACATTCTGCCAGCGTAAAGATTGGGCGTCCCATCAGGTAGAATGCGTACGGGGCGTCACTCAAGATGCACCTCAGCAGTCCATTATGTTGATCGTCGAAAGCGCGGATCAGCAATAGTCTGATTCAGCGTTTTTTTATGAAGTATTTTATTATTTTAATTCTCTTGACATTTAATTTGTTTGATTGCCATTTAAGGAATTTTTCTTGTACAAAAAATGATGTAGATATATTGTGATGAAACAAATTTTAAAACAATGCCTAGCTATTATTCTTCTCCAAGTGGATTACCCAACCATGGGTAAACTTTAGGGCAAGAGTTGAGGCACTGGGTCATGTAACGCTCCTCTTCTCCTTTCTTCAATTGACAAGACTTGGCTTTGCATGGCGCTTCGGCTGGCTGCTGGCAAGATGGCCATAGCTGTTCGCCGAGTTTCACCGGGTTACGCACCCATTCAAGACCGCGCTCTACACCGATAATGTATACATCATCTAGGGTCTGCAAATAGTCTAAAAATTTAAGGTATCCTTCAAAGGAGTGCTCTGGCAAGCGGGGGAACCATGCAGCGTGCATGTAGAAGCCAATCGGTGATCGATTTCCCTCGTAGGAACGGTCAAAGTTGCTCTTCAAGAAATTGAACACATCATCGACGTCATCCTTACTGAAAATTGATAAAATAACAAATTGAATATGTATTACGACGAGTGTTTCAGAAAACTTACATGTTTGGACAAGCATCAACCATTGAACAAATGGTACCCTGACTATCCTTCAGGTTAACCATAGGCTGCACCCAGAAACCGGGAATGCTTGATGTGGGACAGGGTGGGATACTGCATTCCTGAGTGGATTTATAGTCCAAAGTGTACGGCCAGACACGAGTGGATGTTGGCCATGAGCAGTCATAATTCATACCCACTTCCTGTGCGGCTGTAAAACTATTGTCTCCAGCTAACTGCAACAGTGGCATGCGCATTCCCTTAATCTCATCTTCCGGAATGTTAGCGAAGTGGGCCATCATCTTGCGCTCGCCGCCAAATTCAGCAATTAGGGAGAGCAGGTAGGATTCGTACATTTTTACTTGACGCCATATTAAAACTAAACTATATAATATATTCGAATAAGTTTAATGTCCCTATATAGCCTATATATCTGCCTATAATTATAGTATGGTACAGCTCCGTCACAAATCACACAGACAGAATTATGATCAGTTTTCCAAAAAATGGAAATCGTACGAAAGTACCCCACACACGGGGTACCTTCGTGCATAGTGTGGGTACTTTCGTACATGATGGGGTACCTTCATACAGTCAAAGAAAATAAACAATTGTTGATTAAATTTAATCATTTATTGAGATCAATTTAACACAGAATCAGCATTTTTGTATTAAGAACCAAGATATATTATTTAGGTATTCATAGGTATCATATAATATGCATTTGCTTCATTATCAGTCTTTGTAGTTTTCTTTTGCTTCTTTAAATTAAATGACTCTTTCGATTGAGATTTCCTCTTTATTGAAGATGCGTTATCTGCATCTAAGACAAGATGTAGAGCTTTGATGGCCTTAGCTTTTTGTTTTTTCTCTTGCACTTGCTTCTTCAATAGTCTTCCTTTTTCTATTTCTGCCAGTCTATCTTTTTCCGGAGTATCAGTGTAAATTCTAGATTTGCCTGGTAGCTTTCCTTTCCTTGTTTTCTTTATTGAATCTCTGTCCACTCTAGGATATGGCCTGACTAACTCTGGGGTGATCAGGAGCATTCGTACACGTACGAATCTACCCCACCCCTACCTGTACGAAGGTTCCCCAACACCAAAAAAAACAATTAATATCGAAAATAAAAATAACCGCTGAAACTGGGCCAAAATCTATATTTACATGCTAAACTAAGTTATTCCTTCACAAACTGTGTACATTCACTTTTACAATAGGAATAAAGCGTGAATAAACAAAGATGTTTAAAAACATAACCAAAAAATACTTACTTGGCGCGAAATCACGTTACGACTCGTTGCGTCGAAGCCGGCGGCTGCACTGACGTCTCACCCGCGAGTAACCTATGCGTGCGAGTGGGTCTCACGCACACAAACACAGACCTGTCAAAGTATTCTACAGTGGTAGGAATAAGGACTGTACGAATGCTCCTACTGTACGAATCCTACCTGCTCTCCCCTAACTGCTCTTTGGTCTGTGTCTTCCAGTAATCCGTGGAGGAAGTATGTGTGATGGAATGGAGTGCGATTTCATGACCCTCTCTGTACAGCTCATTTACCTACACCGCACATAAATTGTTTTCATTATAGAATGTATTCGTTACGTTTTCACTTAATTTTATATTATATTGTTTTTCATTGGATACGAGTAACGAAACTTTTATTATATCTTTTGAGATAAAACACATGTCCAATGCAAAACAATATGATATTAAATTAATGTTTATTTCTGTTCTGTATAAAACGATTTAAGTAAATACTTACAAGACTGTAGTCAGTGTATTCGTGCGAGATGTAATACGTGGCCTGGACGGGGCATCCATCGGGATTCTTGCGACCGTTGAAGGCTTGTCGGTAATAATCGATGTTGATAGTGCTGACGGCATCATCGAAAGTCAAATACACAAACTACAATTATAATTTACGACTGTTCGTAATACAAAGAAAGGAATTTATTTTAAAATGGTGGATATACTTGTGGGACTTCAGATGGTTCAAATCCTCCCGGAATGGAGCTGTTGAAGCACTTGCAATTGGGCGGTTTGCATACGGTCTCGTCGCATGCTTCTGCTTCACGGAGGCCGAAGTTTGGTTTGGGTGCGGCAAGCGCACAGCCTAGAATCGCCAATAAAACCAGAAGTTTCATCTTCGACGCGGGGTGTAATATAACGCACTGCGCTTTCAAATAGTTTATTCGCGGTTTATATACGCAGTTTAATTGATTTCCACATCAGACAACACTTGAGTGATAAGATCGGTTCAGTATTAAGTTTTTTTTTAAGTTTAAAATCATATTGCAATTTAAAGTTTTCCTGTACTTATGTGCTTAACAACGTACCCAGATGCACAAATCGCACACGTGGATTAAAATAAGTTTTAATAAATTAGTGTGGATTACTACACATTACGAAATATGTAGGATGAATGGGATTAATTGATAAACTTAAATAGATCAGTAAGTAGTTTGGAAAGTTTTAAAACGGAAAGAGCTTCTGTAACTTTTCAAAAAATGGCATAATGTGCGCTGGTCATGTTAAGTTTATTTTGAAAACAAAACAATTCACTTAAATCCTAAGATGGCGGCTTTTATTTTTGCAAATAATTAATTATGCATGCCACAAAAATACTGAGCCAAAATATTGCATTGTGCGTTACCTATTTTAGTTTTTATTTTTTGGTTTTCTTGAAACTGCGACCTCTTACATGTGGTTTGTATCTATGCTAAAGCAAACCGTCCAATCACGCAGTCGCAAACAAACACACAGCAGTGTGCGTCCGAGTGCGTGCGTATTCAATTTTTCGAATGAAAACGTTTGCATTTTAGGTAATTAACGCGTCGACAATAAACCTCTGCCTGATTACAACGCGCCGCGAGTGTCCGCCACGTCGTGTTCCCAAAAACGGCCCTGATTCTTGCTGCCCTTCGGGTATTGTTATTTGGCGCGCACTTCGTTTCCATGACGATGTATTCGTGGTTATGTTTACTGGGGGACACTCGCAAAGCGCGCAATCTTAACTAAACATAATAAACTCTATGGCAGGCAGTGTAATCAAGTGTAATCGTGTTGCAGCGACGGGTATTGCAGTTGTAACATGCCGTCATTCGTGAGACCATCCAAGGGGGGCGGCAGCGCCTCAACGCGCTCGACGCCTGGGACTCCAATGTCCGAGCGCCAACAACTAGCCCTACTGATGCAGATGACTGGTGGCGAAGGTTCCCGTTCACCACAACACTCATCTCGCCCACGCGACCGAAACGAGCGCGGCGAAACTCCCTTGCATTTGGCTGCAATCAAAGGAGATGTGGAGTTGGTCAGCAAGTTGTTATCACACAGAGCTGAGCCCAATGTAGGAGACTTTGCAGGCTAGTACTAATTTATACATACTTTTTAAAACATTTCTAACTTTATTCATACACAAAAAGGATGGACACCTTTGCATGAAGCCTGTAATCATGGCTGGTATGAAGTAGCCTTCAGATTGGTGCAGGCTGGGGCAAATGTGAATGCAAAAGGGTTTGACAATGAAACACCTCTGCACGACGCCGCCACCAACGGCAATATGAAATTGATTAAACTTCTTGTTGAGCGAGGAGCGAACATTTACGCTAAAAATTCAAAAGGCCTTACCCCTCTTGATGTGGCTGCCACTCCTTCAGTAGCAGATTTCTTGTTGAATACGAATTTACCGATAGCAGGTATGTACACATCACATGCATTATTTAATTCGTCATAAATTCATTGCATCGTTCATGGTTGGCATGCGTCCGGATAGATAGAAATTATAAATTTATATCGAAAGATTTCGAAAGTGCGAAGACGCAGACGTACTTGCGCATGCGCGGCTGTGCGCACTTGTCATGAAACAAATAACAAAATGTCGGCCGCCCGACAAAGCCGACACTTGCACCTTTGCTTGTTTGTGTTGTTCGGTTAGTTCGACAAATCTGTTCAAATAATTCATAAAATTTTATCTAAAGCATAAAATAATCGCGACAATGTTGTGAAAACGTCTGAAAATAGAATCAGCTTTGTTTGCATGTTTTTCGTTTGTTTTCGTCTGTAGCGGCTTGTGTGCTCCTGTGTGTGCGTGCGCTGTGTATGTTTACTCCGATTGAAACTCGATAAATTCCGTCCGGTTATACGGTGTGTGTTTGAATGTATGTGTGCGTCTATCGTCTGGCTGTGTCTCGCGAGCTGCGTTTTTCATGTTGCCGCAATACGTGTCCGCTCATTAAAAAATATTTGTTGGGATCGAACGATCGCTCTCCTTAAACGTGTAAATTGTAGGCGGCTAGGGAGAGAGCTTGAAGGAACCGGCTGTCGTTTTCTCTGGAGATGCGACGCGCATCCCAGTTACACAAAGGTATGTCCACTCGTCAGAAACATCTCAACAATTATCGCTGTGTTTGTGTATGTGAGCGTTTTTGCATATTATTGGTATTGACGCGTTGCAAAATTTGCACTTAAGCTTAGGAAGGTGCAGAATTTAATTCAAAACAAAACAAATACAGATCACAACAATGTATATAAACACGACAATACCAATGCTGCTTATTTTAATTTAATGCACCTTACATTATGGTTTTTAATCATTTTATAGAAACCAGTGCGTCAACAAGATTGCAACCGCGTGCAAGGGATGAAAAGAAGGTAACAGACAAGAAGTCCGACGAAATGGAAGCAAAGGCTGCCCCCACCGAAGATGTGTACGAGTTCAAGGCGTCGAAGGAACCAGAGAAATCGCCTGCTGATAAAGCAGAAGCCGCTGAGCCAGAGAGCGAAACTCCTGCCGGAGAAACGCCCACTACTCAACCATCTGAGGCGGAAACTGCCAAGAGAAACTTCTCTGAGGTCGCCGATGATAACAACGACGCGTCACCGTCAAACGATGAGGAATCTCGTCGCAAGAAACGTAAAGACAGCGACGCCAAAGAAGTTAAAACTGCCGGAGCTACTGCACGCAGCAGTACTAACACAGTAAAAGGTCAAAATGCGAAAACCAGCACAACTGCTAATAAAACAACACCTGCAGTAAATAACAAAGACCGTAAAAGTCCTGCAGATAGTCCGAAAGCGGCTAGTGACGCTGAGGAAGACGGCAAGACAGACCTCAAAGTACCGCCACTCAAAATTGTCATCCCACAAAGCACTAATCAGGAACAAGAATCCGGACAAACTCGTAATGGAAAAAATAATTCTCAACGCTCGCACGCCGCTTTACCCTATGTGGTTCCAAGCAGCAATGATGGTGAAAAAGAGACAAACAGCGGTAACAACAGTCCTACAGAGAATATCACCTGTAAAGAAGAAAAGAAGGAATCTGCTGGATCAAACGGCGAAGAAAAGGCACATCAGAGAGTTTTACGCAGTTCACATCGTGGAGGACAAGCCGATAGAAGCAACAATTCATCACCACAACTTCAGAGGTCACATTCACCATCACCTTCTGCTTCGCCTGCAGCACCCACACAAGAAGTACCTGCTGTAACCACACAAGGCGCTACTACAGCAACGAACAAATCTTCAGATAGTCAAGCTAGTAACAACAGCGACACTGAACCATCTACTTCTTCGTCGAATTCCAACTCTGGTAATAATAATGCTGCACCTGTGGAGTTGCATCCAAGGAAGAGAAAGATGAAACCTAGTAAGGAACCGGCTGCACCTGCGACGAGTGATGCCCTGGAGGCACCCGCCGTGTCCGAGGTGCATCCACACGAACAACCGATAACAAACTGTTATCAACTCTTTTTGAATATTCGTAAACAGGTAAAGTTGAATAATATATTGAGTATGTAACTTTAGAAGTTTTATTTTAATCTTTGAAATTGTTCCAGATTGACAAACGTAGAAAGGGATTGTTTCCTGTCCAACCGAAACCACCACAAGGTTTTAAGGATTATCTGATGAATCGGGGTACATATGTTCTTGCAGGCCGAGCACCCACTACCCCGAATATCACTTATCCAGCAACTTTAGCTGCTCCAATGAAGGATCTCTTCTCTGATCAAGAGAAGGAACGCTATAAGCTCAGAATGCAGCATGTCATCGAAAAAGAAAAGTTGGTTCTTTCGGTAGAGCAAGAAATATTGCGAGTGCATGGACGTGCAGCTAGAGCTCTGGCCAATCAGAGTCTACCGTTTTCAGTCTGCACAATTCTTCGTGACGAAGAGGTGTATAATTTGATAACACCGGAACAAGAAGAAAAGGATCGCAATGCAAGATCTAGATATAACGGTAGACTATTTCTTAGTTGGTTACAAGATGTTGACGACAAATGGGAGAAAATTAAAGAACATATGCTGCTTCGTCATCATAACGAGGCTGAGTCGCTGTATGCTGTGCAAAAGATGGATTGGGAGTGGAAACTTAAGGAGCTTAATCTTTGCGATGCGAAGAGTACGCCCAACATTGACGATCTCCACGTGCCCATGGTGCATGTCAGCGACGATTTTGATCTGCTGCCAGCCTAGATTAGTAGGCTTTTGTAAATAGCGTAGTTTAAGTTAACTTGTACAGTTTGTATAGAGATGAAAGACTTTTAATGATGATTGCTTAGTGTAGAAGCAAGTGAATAAACATTAGGATTAGTATTTATGGGGCGTGTTTGACATCTTTCAAAAATGACAATAATCATTACATTTTTTAAATTTCATCCTAAAAGAACAAACATGAGTTTGTAACATTTTCGTAACTTTTGTATAGAATTTATTTTTTGGATACTTTCATTGTCACAAAATTAGTGCATTTGCAATGTGCATACTGTACGAAGTTCTAAATAATGAAATTCGGTGAATTTTGAATAGAAGTCTGCTTTGCCGACTTGTCATCTCATCCGCACGGTTGGACTTTTTGAGGTTAGTGCGTTCTCGCAGTGAAACCGAAGCGAAAAGTTATGTGACCGATATTTTCATCTCGAAGAAAAACAATATTGATATGGCATATAGGCTGTTGAGTACATGCAAAAAGCTAGGACGTATCGGCCGCATCATCGTACAGAACCCCAACGATGCGAATTTAATCCGCCGTGTATGTATATTATAATCAGAACTTAACTTGCAGAAAATATTTACTAATTAATAGCATGCAATTTACCAAACACCCGTTTGTTTTGTTATTTTTGGTTTGATATACAAAGATGGTGATTTGATACAATGTGATATAATATGATGCAATGTTTCAGAATTTTGCAACACTTAGATCAGTTCTAAATGAATGGCGCCTATACTGTGAAAAACCACCAAAAGGTTTTGAAAAATACTTTAAAGACAAACCAGGTACTGCTGCTAAAGATGGAAAGCCTGCTGCAAAAGAGGCTCCCAAAAAGGATGGAAAACCAGCTGCTGCTGAGGCTAAAGCAGATGCCCCAAAACCTTCCACTTCCGGAGCTCCTCCACCACCTTCACAACCAGGAAACAAACCTTATGACAACTGGTCTTTTGGATTATTTGGCGGAACGGGAAATCGCAGTGGCAGCAGCGGAGGTAAGCCATTTGGCGACGGCGATAAGGAGAAATGGTACATTTTCGGGGCTGCTGGCGCGGTAGCCTTCCTTGCCACCTTGGCGCTCTGGGAGATGGGCTACAAGGAAATTGGCTGGAAGGAGTTTGTACACACGTATCTCGCGCGGGGTGTCGTTGATAAACTGGAGGTAGTCAACAAGAAGTGGGTGAGAGTAAAACTAGCAGCAGGCAATACAGTTGAAGGGAATGTAGGTTATTTTAATCAAAAGTTAACTTTAAAATCTTAATAATTGTTTAATATTGTAGTCTGTATTATGGTTCAATATTGGTAGTGTGGATTCTTTTGAAAGGAATCTAGAGAATGCCCAAATGGATATGAATATTGAGCCACCAAACTTTGTACCAGTTATTTACAAGACCGAAATCGAAGCATCTAGTCTCTCTGGTATTCTGCCCACTTTGTTGATTATTGGTTTTCTCATCTACATGATGCGACGCTCGGCGGAGATGATGGGTGGTCGTCGGGGTAAACGCGGTGGTGGTTTGTTTGGTAGTGTCATGGAAAGCACCGCCAAATTAATCAATAGTAATGAGATTGGCGTACGTTTTAAGTAAGTTTATGGTTTTAAATTTAGTATTTGTTTTATTATTCATATTAAAATAATTTAGGGACGTTGCTGGTTGTGAAGAAGCCAAAATCGAGATCATGGAGTTTGTAAACTTCCTGAAGAATCCGCAACAGTACATTGACCTGGGCGCGAAAATTCCCAAAGGTGCGATGTTGACAGGTCCACCTGGAACAGGCAAAACTCTTTTGGCGAAGGCCACAGCGGGTGAAGCCAACGTGCCTTTCATCACGGTATCAGGCTCCGAGTTTCTGGAGATGTTTGTAGGTGTTGGACCTTCCAGAGTGCGAGATCTTTTTGCGATGGCTCGCAAACACGCCCCCTGCATCCTTTTCATTGATGAAATTGATGCGGTTGGAAGAAAACGTGGTGGTAGGTCGTTTGGTGGTCATTCAGAACAGGAGAATACACTCAATCAATTATTGGTTGAGATGGATGGATTCAACACCACTACTAATGTGGTTGTTCTCGCCGCGACAAACCGAGTTGATATATTAGATAAAGCTTTGTTACGTCCTGGACGTTTTGACAGACAGATCTTTGTGCCTGCGCCAGATATCAAAGGTAGAGCCAGTATTTTCAAGGTGCACCTTGAACACCTAAAGACCAATCTTGACAAAGCTGATTTGTCAAGGAAGATGGCTGCTTTAACGCCAGGATTTACCGGCGCCGATATTGCTAATGTATGTAACGAGGCCGCTTTGATTGCGGCTAGAGATTTGAATGACTCCATCAACTTGAAGCATTTTGAGCAAGCTATTGAGCGTGTCGTGGCTGGCATGGAGAAGAAAACAAATGTTTTGTCTCCGGAAGAAAAGAAAACTGTTGCTTATCATGAGGCTGGGCATGCAGTAGCTGGCTGGTTCTTGGAACACGCAGATCCACTTCTGAAAGTATCGATTATTCCACGTGGAAAAGGTTTGGGTTATGCTCAATACCTTCCAAAGGATCAGTACTTGTACACCAAGGAACAATTGTTCGATAGGATGTGCATGACTCTTGGTGGACGTGTTTCCGAAGAGTTGTTCTTTGGTAGAATTACCACTGGCGCGCAAGACGATCTGAAGAAGGTCACACAAAGCGCCTACGCGCAGGTTGTACACTACGGTATGAACCCTAAGGTAGGCAATGTGAGCTTTGACATGCCCAGAGAGGGTGAGATGCAGTTCGAAAAACCGTATTCGGAGAATACAGCTCAGATAATTGATCACGAGGTGCGAACTTTAATCGACTCAGCGCACAAACACACTACGAAGCTGTTAACAGACCACAAGGCTGATGTGGAGAAGGTAGCCGAACGCCTTCTAAAGCAGGAAATTATCAAACGCGATGATATGATTGAAATTCTCGGCAAGAGACCGTTCCCGGAGAAATCCACCTACGAAGAGTTTGTGGAGGGTACTGGATCAATCGAAGAGGATACATCATTGCCGGAAGGGTTGAAGCAGTGGAACAAGTCTCGCGATGAGCCCAAAGATCCAACGTCGGATCCAGCGAAAGTTTCGTGATGTGCTTCATGGATCGTGTCAGTGTACAACTACAAACTTTTTGTGTATAGCAAATACGATTGTTTTTTTCTACCATTACTTCTTTCTGTTATTATAAGTAGTAAATTTTAAATTATAAAAGATTATCGGATTACTTATACTACGTTGCTTGATATCTTGAAATATAAATCAAAACAGATTATTGAAGAATGGTAAAGACCACCAGACAGGGAAATATTGCGATTTTGAAAGTTGACTTTCTTTTAAATCAAAATTGTGTATTTAAATAATGCATACATACAAAAATAATACTAAGAATAGAAGAATCATAACTGTAACAAACAATTTTAAGATTTTAATGCGCTTAATCGTCCTCCGTTTCAACAAGGCTTCCGTTTTCAAACGTTAAGTCTAAGGGCGAGTCGTAAATAATTGTCCTCTGACTATCATCAACATCGGTAGTCTCTGATTCGGTGTCTGCTGCTGCAATACCTGGTATTGTTAAATCGATTGAAGACATTTCCCTAACACTGTCTTGTGCATTGTTGGAACCAGTGGTTTTGGAGATTGCATTTTTGATTGTTGGACACCTGAGTCCAGCTATTCCAATTTTATCAATGTTTGCCAAATCACGTTTAATCCTCCGTCGTCTGGATGGATCATTTCGTCGTAACTGTAGCATTGCATCCAGGTCCATGACATAAAGAAAACCAGCAACTAGTAGTTCACAACTGCGCTCACCATTTTTATAAGCTGTCTCCAATTCTTTGCTGGTTCTTTCATCATATTGCCACCAACCTAATGAATACAGTGTTATAAAATGCAGATTATTGACTGAGTGTAATTGTTTTACCATTTCTTCCTTCATAATACCATTCATAGTTATATTCTAGCATTCTGTCCTCAATTATATCAATTAATGTTGGCTTCTCCACAAAATCATGAGGGATTTCCTGCCTGCACATTGCACACCTCTTGCTTCTGTTTGCAGTGCCCTTGATGCAGAGAAAGCAGAAGACATGTCCACATGGCAGCTTGGCTGGATGCACATAGGGCTCAAGACAAACAGCACATAAATCTAGGATGATACAATGCATTAATATTGTATATTATTCAACAAGTGATAAAGATATAAAAAATATACCTTTGTCAGGTTCCTCAACTGGGGCAGCAGAAGCAGTTGTTGAGGCAGTGAGTGGTGAAGCTTCAGCCATTATTACAGTGTTAGATCACACAAAATCTACATAGTCTAACACTTTCAATCAGTCTCAAACCATTCGAAGCCTTATAGATTTCTAGATTACGCGACCTGCTTATTATGAAGATTCTAAATACCCATCAAATCAACAGACTAGTGACGAATAATGACGAACCTCTAACACTGTATGCAACCCATGTAACATACAAAATTAAAAATACGTGCAACATTTGTGTAACATTCTTACATCAAATGGTAAATATTTAATTCCTTTGTCATTTTCATTAATAATTTGTGATTAGCTCATGAAAGAGTAACAAAATTCCTTTTTTCTGTTTTGCAGGATTGATATTTCTTCAATTATAAGTTGCAATTGGAAATGATTTGCGCACCCACTGTTTCATGTTTACTTCTAATGCAATTCGGCACCGTAGTAGTATCAGCATTTGAGTACGAGTTGGCTTAGTTGGCTGTTTCATCCCGCCTAGTCGGTGGTGCGCTGTTGGGCCGTGAGCACGTGTTTTCGTGAGCTCTATGGATTTTCACAGTGACTGCTTGCATACTTGAGATTTTAATACGGTAATAGAATTCGTATCGTTTAACCATCGAATGAGTAACTTATCGTGAATCGAACCCAGAATTAAGAGACTTCACCACGTGCGCGCGTGTATATCATCGACCGTCTACCGTCGGCTCTTAGTCAGAGATACCAACTCGATTTATTAGGAAAATTGTTTGATTGTTAATTCGTGGAAAATTTCAACAAACAATTTTTGTAACCATGTTTGAGTGCTTTAATACTTCATGATTGGAACAACAAAGGAGTATGTAACATGAAATAAAAATTAATGTATGTTTACACCGCGGATTTAGCACCTGATCCACTGCACAAAAACCATTCTGTCATCAGATTGTAAATATTGAATTTATTTATCATTTTCATGTATAACTTTTGTAATTATCTCACGAATTGACCATAATTGCATTTTTGTGTTATGAAGGACTAATTTTTGATGATTTTAGGGATTTTGCACCTGATTCATGCATCCCACAAAAACCATTCTTCCAACCGATTGTAAGTATTGAATTTCTTTATCATTTTCACAGATATATTTTGTAATAATTTCACGAATTGATTCTAAAAATTGCATTTTTGTATTCCAAAGGACTATTTTTTGTTGAATTTTGGGATCTTGCACCTGATCCACACATCGCACAAATACTATTCTTTCATCAGATTGGAAGTATTGAATTTCTTTATCATTTTCACATATATATTTTGTAATTATCTCACGAATTGTTTCTAAAAATTGCATTTTCGTATTCCACAGGACTATTTTTTGATGATTTTAGGGATTTTGCGCCTGATCCACGCATCGCACAGATGCCATTCTTTCATCAGATTGTAAGTATTGAATTTCTTTATAATTTTCATACATAACTTTTGTGATTATCTTACGAATTTGTCCTAAAAATTGCATTTTTGTGTTATGATAGACTAATTTTTGATGATTTTAGTGATTTAGCATTTGATCCATGCATCGCATAAAAACCATTCTTCCATCAGATTGTAAGTATTGAATTTCTTTATCATTTTCATATATAACTTTTGTAATTATCTCACGAATTGACCTTAAAAATTGCATTTTTGTGTTATGATGGACTAATTTTTGATGATTCTAAGGATTTTGCACCTGATCCATGCATTGCACAAAAACCATTCTTTCATCATATTGTAAGTATTGAATTTCTTTATCATTTTCATATATAACTTTTGTGATTATCTTACGAATTTGTCCTAAAAATTGCATTTTTGTGTTATGATGGACTAATTTTTGATGATTTTAGGGATTTTGCACCTGTTCCATGCATTGCATAAAAACCATTCTTTCATCAGGTTGTAAGTATTCAATTTCTTTATTATTTTCATAGATAACTTCTGTGATTAGCTCACGAATTGACTCTTAAAATTGAAAGTCTGGCAAATATTATCTACTATTAGTAAACTGTATTGTTTTTTAAAATTTTATTTGCTTCCGAAAATGGTCTCCATCTTGCAATTAATTAGCTGTAGTTGGGAGCGCCGTAGAAATACTGCCTAGTGTGCTAGCTGTGACAATATTACACTGTTATCCAGGTATAGTTTAGATACACGAATAGTTGTATGTAAACAATGAGCCAATAGCAACACCGCGTGACCGCGTGGTCATTTCAGAGCGCGCATTCAGTTCCATTCCGGTTGCCGAGCGAACCACGCGTTCATCGCGACTAGTTTTATTTCTTCCTATTATAAATTGATCGTAAATCGACTTATATTCAATAAGCAATCGACAACATTTATTAGAATTGCGCGTGAACGGAATTTCGCCAGATAATAAGCACGAGTGAACTATTGTCGGCCGTCGGAGATTATTTTTCACGTGTGGATTATACTGCACTCGTGTTGGCCTGCATGTGCACGGCGTGCGTGTCGGCTGTCGCTTATCACCCAGAATAACTATGATTTATATTTAATTTGAATAAGTAGACCACGGATGTGCCCAGAGAAGAAGTTTACACTTAAAACGGCCCTGGAGTTCCGAATATTCATCGCAGAAGAGTTGCAAAAGTGCGCATATTGTAAGGCAAGTGTTCCGCGGCATTTAATATTTGTCGATATTTTTCTATATAAAAATGTTTGTATTTGTAAATGTTGTCAATAAAATAAACTTAATATAAATGAATATCTCATTCATATTTGTTTTTGGTATCCTCTTTGCCGTTTTCAGTATATGAGCGTTTCACACATATCGATATAGATATATTTTCGCGTGGAACGAGTGCAATTAAGGCTTGTGTTGTTGTTTTTAAGACATGATAAAAATAGAAACATAAATAGAAGTATCAAATATCAATGATAAAAACACTCGGTGGTCGAGTGGATACGTGCACCTGCTGGCATGCTAGCAGGCACGGATCGAATCTCAGGTATAGAAGGCATTTTTCTCAAATATAAAAATATCAGGCGTAATTTGGGTTGCATATATGAATTGCAACGAAATATAAGAGAAATGGAAATGCAAGTGAAGGCAATAAAAGAAGTAAGAAAGTAAAAGGAGAAAACGGGAGAACAGAAGAGAATAGGAGAAGATAGAAGGAAGAGAACAGAGAGTAGAGTGGAGAAGAGGAGGAGATAGAAGAAAGAGAACAGGGGAGGAGATCAGATTTTTAAATTTTTTGGCACGTGTCGTTATAAGACAGTCTACGGTCGATCTCCCAGAGCGCCTCCGGCGCTCTGGTCGATCGCCCACTGCTTCGATGCGTCCATTGCTCCCGGCCCAACCTACAGCTACGATGTCTCTGCGCTTCATCCCTGGAATTATCAGGCATATCAACAATTTTTATGGTGGGGGATCACCCCCAGAGAGAGGGAACTCCTTATAAGGACAATCCTTAAAAGGTCTTGTTCAAATATTTCTAAGTTTTAAGTCGTCTCAAGAGAGGAGACACTTATATTAAATATTCTTACAAGTTCTGACCTGTACCTGAAATGAGAGAAGGAGTACACAAATCATACAGGATACCTTAACAACTTTTATTGTGGGGATCATCTCCTGAGAGAGGGAACTCTCTTAGAGACTTGAAATGTTCCTGAAATGATAGAAGGGGTACAAGCAAATCATAAGACACAATGATTCATAATGTTTCTTTATTAACAAATTACATACATGTATGTAAAATACATAGAAAATTCTGGCAGCAATTTTGAAATAAGTCCTTCGATCTCATATCCGTGCACATACACACATGTACCAAATGATGTACACTGACATGTAGCACTAAGAAATACAGTTAATTAACAGAAAATAGTATACAGGGTGTTGCAAAAAGAAAAGAGAAACAATAATTAAAAAAGCACCTTGCAATTTATTCAATTTTGGCAAAATGTGAAGGAAAATTGATATAATGGGTGATACAAAAAGAAAATGTAAAGTTTAAGAAGGAAAACACCCGAACACCTAACTTGGTCAATTATTGATTGGAAATCAAGAAAAACAAATATACAAGGTGTTACAAAAGGAAATTTAATACATTTAAAAAAAATCCCAGGATCATTGTGAAAAGATCCGGAATCATCAAATTTGATCAATTATTGTTGAGATCACGGAAAGAAATGTACAGGGTGTTGCAAAAATGACATTATTTAAAAAGAAAATGTCAAATTCAAGAGGACCAACTTCTGGAAACAACTAATTCGGTCAATCAAAGATTGGGGAGCAAGGACACGTAATACCTATACAGGGTCATGCAAGGAAAATTACTATATTAATAACAAAATGGAAATTTCTCAAAGTAGAACATCAGGAAAATAAAGATTTTATAGTTTTCTCAATGGAAATAGACCGGAATGAAGGAAAATGCAACTACACTTACAATTAAACAATTATAAATTGTTACTTACATCTCCTGGTTATCTAAGAAAAGTAAAAGTAGAGAAGGTAGGGTGATAGATAAATAAATAACCGTAATGAATTTTATTGCGTATTGAGACTTTGTTTGCGACGCGATTTCATGACACGACTCTAGCATAGAAAAGCGCCGGCCGACGGCATCCCAACGACACGCGGTACGATATAGAAATCGCGTTTTACATACATTTTACGGCATATTACCAAACTACTAAACACGTCAACACGATTATAGAATTAAGAATAATGCAAACGAGGAAAAACGCTAAAACCCACTTTTTGCAGCGGGAGCGAAACCGCATCCGACGGCACGCGACGTTTTTGTAATACTATTTTAATCCCGTTACATGCGACTAAAGGCGTCAATTTAATAATGATGTAATAATATTTAAAAACTTACCAGTACACTGGGTAATCAAGGGAAGCCATGAAACAGAATAAAGCACGTGTTTTAGAACTGACAGTACGCCGCGCACTTAGAAGTTCGTCCCGTCGGATAAAGGCCTTGCATTGCAAGCTATATTTTAACGGATTATGAGAGATTCTGCGAAGGACAGACGTTGATTACACATACTCGAAATTAACAGCAGTATATATTCATATTTCCTATTGCAATTCTTAGTAACGAAATATCCAATGGTCGACGGACCACTAAGGCACAAACGAAGACACTAGTTTTATAAGCGTGTCATGCACTAATCAAAGTTAGCAAAACACTAAACATATCTATGGTCATTAAGTGCCGATATTTATGTAAATGCTTTTGATTGAATTGAAATGAAAGATCGCAAGGTAACAAACCACGTGTAAATTGGAACTGACTGAAACGTTGGAACGTTCGTAGTATTAGCGCACCATCGAACTGGTTTAAAGCGATAAAAAAGTTGTTTATACACCACCACCGATAAGCATTTAAAGTTGAAAATAAAACATTCAAATTTGTAGATGTAATACAATTTACATTACGTAGAAAAGAAATATTAAATAATAATTCGATCATATTTTGTATGTATTCCATCATTCTCATTTAAATAAAATGAACCCGTGCACAATATGTTTAATAATAATATGTTTTTGGGAGCGGAAATGGCATATTGTTGGGAAATACTCTGAGGCAACCAGAATATAAAGAAGTTCTCAAGATATGAACCAATTTCCAAGACGAAATTTAAACAACGTTGAATTTGTCAAATTTTTGGGCACTTGGCGAATTGTTTGTGGGAGCGACAATAACGTATTAATAATACCCCAAAGGATTCCCACTGTAGACCACTACAATGTTTAGATTGATGTTTATCACCCAAATGAAAACAGCATTCCTAGCGATGAGAAACAAATTGACTGCGGCAAATATAATAGTTAGTGAATGCTGACGATAAACACTGCACACAATCCAGCATCGGCACACATTAGTAACACATTAGTGAAAGGCACACTCTATAAACGCAATCTAAAACCACATAGGATAATGTACACGTCGTTACAATTAAATACGCGCGTTTGGCAATGAATTATATCGCGAATTTATGGAATTTAATGCAAAAAGATTCACACGAGCACGACGAAATGTCTTAGGGGCAACCGGTACGAAACTAACTACAGTCCACCGACACAACAAACCTGTCGGCCATGGACGTGACTTATCATAAGATAAAGTAAGATGTTTCTATTGGCGGCGTGTCTATGGCATGATGCTTGTCTCACTTAGAAGAGCCGACAATGTGCGCGGAATTTATTTCTTTTTAATTTTTGTTATGATTCATTTTCAAATTATCTTTTCTAATGGAGAATTTCACGTAGATTAAGAATAATAAGAATCCTCAATCTGTTCCTCCCTTTCATCTATAGTTTAAGAGATATTTGTTATTGAGTACTGATAATGTTTTAAATTTGCTATTATATAGAGAGAATTAATAAATGAATTACTTTTACAATTGATATATACTTGTCTCCCAACACTTTAACATGAGAATGAAACAAGAAAATAAGTGTTTACAGAGTAAATAAAATTATCACAAAACAACGAATAACTCTTGTTTTACGACTATACCATGTATTACAATTATTTAAATGTTTAAAGGAATAAGTTATGTTACATATTTTTAATGTATTGCATATAAGAGTTTCAATTAAGCATAGTATGCCTATCATAAATATTACGTCGCTGTTCTTTCACCTGGCGCTTCCATTTATCCTGCTGATGCCCAACGCGATTCAAAACATTGCCTCTGACGCTCATATTATGTGACATGCCAGGTCCACTCACCCCAGCTGCACTCTCATCTTCTTCATTGGTGTGCTCCTGATAGCTACCTTTATTCCTTTTATTGAGCAGTGGATCCAAAATAATCAGGAAAGCCATGTAGATTACCAGGATGGAAATGACCCAAATTACAATAATAACAACAAACTTGATTATATTGGTGTTGCGCGCCTCATATTTGCATTCACATCTCTGGCAAAACTCCGGCCCTTTTCCCTGGATATGATCAATAATATTAGGAAGAATCACTGACTCACATTTACTACAAAAATAAGAATCAATTACTATCTGAATGACAATAGTTCAATGCTGGTTTTTACCATTGGTGAGGTTGAACATTTGCAATGTGTAGTATTTTGGTCTGATGACTTCTTAAAGTACTATTTGTCACTGTAGACATGCTGGGGCAAACACATCTACAGCGATTGTTCTCATATGATTGACCCTAAAACAAAAATAAATTTAATTTTTGTTTATAAATAGTGAATAAAAACTTACCATTGCTCCAGATGCAAATAAAACACCCAGGAAGGTGATATAAAGAGTTGGGGAAATCATCTTCCTAAAAATTAATAAAACAGTCAAAAATATTTTCAGTGCTTCACTTCAGTGGTAGATTGGTGAGACATCTGTAGTTACAGTAGTAGTACAAGAGTGTGTGTGACTTATCTGTTTGTTTTTAACATTGCATAGACTCCAAGTACATTTATAAAATTCCAGCAGCGTTATCAGTATTAAGCCAGTAAGCTACAGCACCAAAGTGAGTCTAAATTGTCTAAAATGGCTCAGGAAGGACCAAGGAAAGTCGCATTTATAACAGGCATCAGCGGACAGGTATGTAGTGCTTACCGAGTTAAAATCGTCGCGTTGAACCAAAGTACAAGTCGAATGCAAAATCGGACTAGTAGACCACTTACTTCACATAATATCTTATTGCTGGTGTGCGTATTATTCCTTAAATCAAAGAAAACAACTGTAGGGTTATAATAATAACGTCAATGTAGCTGTGTTTGCGTAGATACCAGCTGGACGGATCGATAGTTCGTAGATGCGCCGCATTGGCGTTGAAAGCGCGCTACATTCAAAAGTTTCTTTTTACTTTCACAGGATGGCTCCTATCTGGCGGAATTACTCCTTGAAAAAGGCTACTACGTTCATGGTATTATCAGAAGGGCAAGTACTTTTAACACCGCACGGATTAATCACCTCTACGCTGATAAATACACGCACAAGGGAGGTAAAATGAAGCTGCACTACGGGGACATGACCGATTCCAGTTGCCTGGTCAAATTAATCTCAACAATCAAACCTACGGAAATTTATAATCTCGCCGCGCAGAGTCACGTGAAGGTCTCGTTTGATCTTAGCGAATACACCGCGGAAGTGGTCGGCGTGGGCACTCTGCGATTGATGGACGCCATCAGGACCTGTAATCTCGAGAAAGAAGTGAAGTTTTACCAGGCGTCCACGTCGGAACTCTATGGGAAAGTGCAGGAAGTACCGCAGACCGAGTGCACGCCGTTTTATCCACGTTCGCCATACGGTAAGCCTTGAAACATTAGGGTCTTGATGAAATTAAAGTGTGGTATTCGTTGATTTCAGCATGCGCCAAGTTGTATGCATTCTGGATCGTGATCAATTACCGTGAGGCTTACGGGATGTTCGCCTGCAACGGCATCCTCTTCAATCACGAGAGCCCGCGCCGTGGCGAGACGTTCGTGACGCGGAAGATCACGCGAGGCGTGGCTAAGATCCACCTCGGGCAGGCGGAGCTCATCGAGCTGGGCAGCCTGGACTCACAGCGCGACTGGGGCCACGCTAAGGACTACGTGGAAGCAATGTGGATGATGCTGCAGCAGGACGCGCCGGAGGACTATGTGATTGCGTCCGGTGAGATGCACAGCGTGCGGGAGTTCGTCGAGATGGCATTCCGGCACGTCGGCAAGGAGATCGAATGGCGTGGCACGGGTCTAGAGGAGGTGGGCGTGGAGAAGGATACCGGTGTGGTGCGCGTTCGCGTCGACGAACGATACTTCCGTCCCACTGAAGTGGTAAGCATAACACTGCTCTCGGTTGGTTTATTAATAAACACCGAGATCAATTTGCATGCAAATATTTTCGGCAGTGTGCCGCTGATGGTTATCGCAAACTTATGTTAATCCTCTGTTGGTTCATTAACGCGATATAGGAGCAACTCCTCGGCGACGCGTCGAAGGCAAAGAAGAAGCTGAACTGGGCGCCGCGGGTAACGTTCCCGGAGCTCGTCAAGGATATGATGGAGGCTGATATCGAATTGATGAGACGCAATCCGCTCGCCTGAAACAAGCAACACCATTCCATGATGATATATATTCTATATTCATTTCTGTATTTAATATATTGAAATATGATGATGTATTGATGGCGGTTTTAACTCATTCCGCACCGATTCCAGAGCATCGCCTGCTGGTGCTGCGTGCGTTTGTTGTTGCTTCCTGCGTGCGCGTTTACGATGTGTAACTTGCGTTAGTGGCGACCACCCGGTTTGCGGCCGCGAGAACCCTCGGCGATCGTAAAACGCGCGACGTCGCGCTTGCTCGCCTCGAAATAGAAGAAAGCGCAGGCGGCAATAAAACTGATACGTAAATAAGTAAATAGTAATATCCCAGAAATTCGAGTGTTTATTTGTAATTCGGCGCGAACATAAAATAAACAACGGCGAGCGACATGCGGGGGCTTTTTCATCTTCATCTTCAAAACCGCATTAGCGCGCATCTTCGCAACAGCTCGTTCCGCGTTGAAACTTCAAGGAGCGAACGATTTTTTTTACATTAATGCGTTTTCAATGTGCACCAAGCACCAGACGAGTTGAAAATTACAAAGCGAATTGTGTGTGTGTGGCCGATAAAATTCCCCGAAACAAAAATGCTACAATCATCACTTTAATAATTTAAGATGTTCCTGTTGCTGATGTAATGATATTTTTAATGAGCGTAAAACAATCCGCGCAAAGTTTCTAATTACTGTTTGCGTATAATTACTATAAATAGACGCCTGCAAGGCAGTAGTCTTTTTCGGCGGTTGATTTATTATAAAGTGCCGAACCGCACATCACGCACAGTGTACACAATCCGCGATTGAAGCATCAAAGAGCGAAGAAAAGGTATAAAATACATGTGGTCAGCTTACACACATGCGTGCGCGTGATTGTGGGCATTCGGGAAGAATCCCTGGAAGCGGTCCACACACTCTAACACCCGTACACACACACACATTCGTGTTTGAAGCGGAATGGTTTTGTTTGTTGATTCTAAGCGCATTTGAAACGAACCCGTAAATACGGCCGCGCGGCGTGCCAGGCACCGGAAAGTTTGTATTTCTTTTTTATTTCCCTTAAAACACTAAAGCTACATCGCGCTCGCGACGCCCGCGCCGCGCGTTTGTTTCATTACAAACGCGCGGCCATTAATGCCCCGACAGCCGGCTACCGCCGTGCGACTGTTGCGTTTTCGGGGAAGCAACATAATTCGCCTCGTAGATCAAATGTAACGTGCCTGTAATAACACAACGACTGTCACTTCAATACCCGTTGATAAATGTTGCGCGCCCGAGTTGTGTTTTCCTTTTTGAACTCCTGCTTTGCTTTATAGATCTTTATAGTGTTTATATAACGGTTTAATATTTTAAGATACGTCTTTACAAATGTTCGCGTTGCGTGTGAAGAACATTATTGCATGTCTCGAATTGCACAATTCACAATGCAATTCGTTTCACACTACGGTGATAAAAACTAACCCAAATCTTTTGCGCAAATGGCGTTTTCCTTTCGTTTTCTCGAGGAGAGGAAGATTTTATAGATTTCTTACTCCCAACACCACATGGGGTATATTCTCACCCATAAGACATTATCGTTATCTATAAAATCTTTGTTATACTTAAATATAAAAGAATGGATCTCTTGGGATGGAATATTATTCAATTTCTACAACATCTATATCCGCCCTCACCACTTCCGCACAGTTAACATCTTTATCTGTATGTTGATCATGATGAGACAAGATGATAAATGAACGAAAATGAAGTGCACTGAATTACGCCAAACGACGTATTTATCGCCAGCGTCTAAGTATGCGCGATCATGTCCTACACGACTCCGAACACGATGGACCACACGCATCTCAATGACAGATTTACAACCACCGACCAGCTATGACTATCACCACACATCTGTATTTCTACATATGAGCATTCGTAGCACGCATTGCAAAATAAATTTTTGCATGCCGGCGCGGCATCCAAGCGAAGATTTTAACATCGGTGCTCATTTTGTTGCGCTCGCACGAACACAAACCAGCCAAACAAAACAACAACCAAAAGAGATACTCCCGGAAGTTTAAATTTAATACCCTGCGTTTCTGCTATCTTTACGGCTGCCGCCGCCGCGGCGTTGAAATCAAAATATAATAAACGACATAAAGGCTCATTTAATTCGGTGTAGAATAACAACGTGGGGTTCCCGAGCGACGCGGCCTGCGGTAGCTGGCGGGGTATATTCATGCAAGTGTTGTTGTTATTTACCTTTTGTGGCTTTTAATGCGTGTCACGGCTATTATCGGATGCGGCCGCAATGTTTTGACAACACGTGTGAAAACACTCGTATATCTTCCGCACGTCCGCCTCGCGAGAGGTGTGTGCCAGGTTATGAGATGCACTCATGGGTGGAAGATGATGTTTCCTACGAAAAAGCTCACTAAGCTTCGAGCTAAGAGACAGACGTCCGTCGCGCTCGGGAGATGTGGAACTGCATCTTATTGGCCTGCCAGACATTCGAATTTCGGGAAAACGTAACGCCTGAAAATTCCAACACCACGCCATCGGCAGGAGTGGGGGATGTTACTTAAGTCAGTTGCGGATGTTAAACGTCGTTAATTAGCGCTAAACATTCACTAAACAAGTTCCCATTTCAAAACGGTGTCAAAAACTCAATCGCGTGTGACATCATAATGCATTTTGTTAATTAGTGTTAATTTGAGACTAAACCATGTTTCCCATTGACTTGTACCGCGATTTTGTGCCACCCAATCTGTACCTTCAGCAGAGTATGCTGCACGGATACTGCATGTCGCCAAATCTATGGCTGCCATTACCGCTTAAGCTACAAGAGCCGCGATTAGAAAAACCGCCATATTCGTACATAGCTCTTATTGCAATGGCTATCAGTTCATCGCCAAAACAAAGATTAACACTTTCCGGGATTTACCGTTTCATCATGGATAACTTCCCGTACTATAGAGACAACAAACAAGGATGGCAGAATTCCATCCGGCATAATTTGAGTTTAAACGATTGTTTCGTCAAGGTACCACGTGACAAGGTATCACCAGGAGGTCCGGAACAAGCTGGTGGTAAAGGAAGTTACTGGATGTTAGACCCCAAAGCAACTAACATGTTCGAAAAGGGAAACTATCGTCGCAGGAAGAGTCGACGACAGCGCATCGCCGAATGCACGGATTACTTAAGTCATCAAAGATCTCTAAGTCAGGTAAAACTAGTTTTTAATTCGAATTGATTTGTGGTATGATTGGATGTAATGTTGATGTTATAGGAGCGAATTGGGGGTGCGTGCAGCGTTACGCCAACAGCAGCGCCCTCTACGGCGGAGGCGGCGTTGACATTGCGCAAAAACAAAAATTCCAGCCTGTTTACCATCGAGAATCTCATAAAAAGCGACGACGGTGCCGGCCATAAAACTTGATTAAATAAATAAGGCGTGCGTGCGCGCGTGCAACACCACCGTTTGATGTTTTCGGGATTATTTTTGCGTAACACTGTAGCACACCGTCGCAAAACTTGTTGTACATATATATTGCACGTCAAAAAAAGACCGCCTCTCGCAAATAAACACCGCGATTGGACAAATTTCAAAAAGACTGCCGCGCGTCTAACGAACGCGCGCAGTTTGGACGTTTTTAGAAAAACATTTACTTTGTACATTACCCGATTTCGAAAACAGCGCGCCGCGTCCCTCCTTTGAACTCGCGGTGCAGGCGGGCGCGCGCTTTATTTGTTTTACCGAATGAGACAAAAAATGTAAATAAACAGTCCACAACTTGAGAAAATAACTTTTTCGCACGCGGCGCGATGATTTCATAAATTTTATAAATACTATTCGAGCAAACAGCGTTTGATGGTGCGAAATGTTGCTGTGTGAGCTCGCGTTGATTATATAAAGTTGTATAATTGTGTATAATCGTGTTGTATCTACATACTTTGATGGGATTTCACGCTTGTAGGATGTAAGGTGTGTCGAGTATGAATGTAATTTTGAGTGTCCAATAAATATTTATTTTATACCCAAATGAACGCCGCCTAATTTCTTCCAACATCAAAACCAACCCGGAATTATCCCGAAAGTGTGCGCCGCCGTTATTGATTTTGTCAGATGTGAAAATTACAAATTACAAATCAAAACAATGACAAGTGCACGAGTACGAGAGCGGTAGTAATTATCGCCGTCGGAGGGTGAAAACGTGAAAGGCAACTTTTGAATGGCACGAAATTTGCGCTAAAAGAGATGTAATTCCGAGCGCATGATATAAACGACGCGGCGAAACGCAAAGTTGCGTTTTTATGTTGCTCGAGCCTCGAAAACGACAATCGCATACAATCGAACTAAATTGCTGGATTATGTGGGCACCTCCACCTGCGTGTATGCGTGTGGAAAGTTTTTTTTTATCGGCTTTTTCGATTTCGGGCAAAGCAACCGGTAGCGTGCACGTGTGTGCACGTGTGTCGCGAGGATAAAGGTAAAATTCGTTCAAAGTCGATGCGCGCAACACGTACGCTTTGGTTGGAAAGTGCGACAAAGTTGCGGTTTCGCGTGAGGGGTGCGCGCACACACGTAGGGGTGGGTGCGTGTGGGTGAGTGTTGGTTTTAGGGAGTTTAGGATTGTTAGACGCACGAAGGCGGCGGCCGCGGCGGCGGTGGTAAAGGCAAAGGAAGCATGCGTGCATTGAATGCTTGAACTTGTCGGCCGACCTGAGCGAGCTTTCGGTCGTTAGATCACATTGTTGTTACCACCGTTTATTCAAACCGCAGAAGAGACACGTAACAAACAGGAAATTATGGATCAATCAGAAAGCAACTTTCTGTAAAAAGCAAAAATTTTACAAAGTCATTTTAAGAGTAAAAATGCGCAGTTTTATATACCTAAAACTATTGAATGTTGAAAATGAGTATAAAGACTCAACATGTTACCCGAGGGAATGAAGGCATGCGAGTAACGTGCGCGCTCCGAAGCAATCAGTCGGACTCGAGGGACTTCTTAGTGGACAATAACGGGTCGGACGCAATTTGTCGGCCCCGAGGCCGGCCGCTGTTCCTATAGTAACTGCCGCCGCTAGTAATTCAGCTATGATAGCTTTATTAAGGCCCCTCTTTTCGACCGGTGCGCGCACGGCTAATGGCGAAGACGGCGATAAATAATGGCTGGTGGTCGCGGTCGCCGGCGTTGACACGCTGCCAATTCGCCGTGTTCACCCCCCAAAAAGAAGTCCGACCTTCTTTCCGACGCCGTTTCCTCCCGAAAACCTTCCAACGGAATTCGAATCATTCGAGCACAAATATAACGCGTTTTGTTCCAAATCCCATTCGCGGAGTTGGAAACCCAAATCAATTTTTAGGAGGTGCTTTGCACCTTACTCGCCACCTTGAACGCACAACCTGGTGGTGCTAGGTGTGGGTGATAATCGTGCCGAATCGAAGCTAACCATCCGACTGTTTATGAGTGAATCGCATGTGTTCCAAGCAGGGAACGCAAATGGGAACACGGCGAGTGGTGGCGAGCGCAAAAACGGTAATAATTTAGCGGATCAAACGAGGAGCTAACTCAGCACGGTCGGAGAGTGGTACGGGTGTTTTTTACGAGGCGAGGGGGTTGAATTGAGGAGGGCGACCGGTTCGTGTCACCGTGTCGGCGGCGGTGGTGGTGAAAAACGAACTGTTGCTACAACAACAAGTTGAAAACTTTTCAGTCAGCGCACGAATAAAACTGCTGTGTTAATGGCATTAGTTTTCTACGTTTCCTGACACGTCTCTACTGCGCTTTTTATACAGTCTGTATGAGTTCACAAATATTATAAAAACCAGCATGAAATTAAACAGAAACAAATATTTTTCTTACATTCATTAGAAACTTTCAGTATTATTAGTTAAATGCGCTTTTCCAGTCCGTACCAAGCTGTTTGTAATTAGCGGTGTTTTAAAGTTGCTCTTTTTACTGTGCCGCAATGTGAATAAATCGTCTTGATGTCATTTAGACTCGTTAACGCTAGGCAACCAACTATATACGCAAACAACTAGCTTTGAAATTGTTTGACAAACAAAATTTGTCTCGAAATTGATTTTTTAATTAATGATCTTGCGCCGGTTTATTTACGCTTGACTTGCGCACCTTTTAGGAGGCAATTAGCGCTCGCCTGCGAATTTAATAAGATGTTTGCGCGCAGAACGCTTTAATCCTTTCGCAATGGGATGAAATTTCAAACTTTCCTTCCACACGCCGGCGGAATATTGGCGTGCTCGCGTTCATATTGATTGCACCTGTAGCCCGAGCGCGCGCGCTTTATATCGCGAATTTGTAATCCCACGCACGCGGAGGCAAAAGAAAAACCGAACCGGCGAGCGCAGTCGTCCGGAATAGATTCTTGCGTTTCGAGGAAATCGTTCGTGCGGAAGCGAAATTATTGATGATTTCGTCGAGCGGAAAACGCGTGCCAAACGAACGAAAAACTCAAAACAACAGACAACCGCATACAAGCTGCAACCAACACAGCACATAACCCCAAAATCAAAATGGCGTCATAACCTCAAAAAGCATGTTTAATTCAAGAAAGAAAAAAAAAACAACTAGAAACGTGATAAAAACAAGCCTGATGATTTTCGTGTCGTTATCAGCTGGCGACAGTAAAAACGACGACGCGTAAAATCGCGCGTTACGATGCCGTCGCCAGCGTCGTCGACTTAATCTATCGACTGCCGTTTTTAATAGCCCTTGGGGCGATAAAACGCCATCCCCATGGACAATTTTTCCACATAGCAGCTTATCACATCAAAATCTATCGATGATGGCCCGACTTTATGAACGCTTTGCATATTCGCCAATTGTTTTCTTACACACTGGGTGTTTGTGACACCCTCCGCCCCCCACGCGCATATTTTATGCCACATTTAGGTGGAATATCGTTCATAAAAATATTAATCGCGTTGTGACTATAAAACGAATTGCTCCCGACATGTTTAGGAGACATTTACACACCAGCACGCATCAGCACGTAGATGTGCTGCCCTTCCAGCGTGTCAGAAGTAGTTATTCAGTTTGCCATGGGTATAAATAGTGTATAAATTATTTAGACGGCGTCCAGTGAGTTGGAGTTCACGTAACAACTCGCATGTGAGCGGTTTGGAGTAGGTTCCTAATTGCGAGATAATTAAACGTTGTATGCAGAAGGTCAACATGTCACGTCGCATCCCTTATGATGGGTGTGTGGGGGTTGAGCGCACGGCGGTCCATTACGTTTAGTGCACGTCGCGCGCTGACTGTGACATCTTAACGGGACCGTAAAATGGACCTCGTAAAGGACTCACACCAGTCACACCCCCCAAAACGTCCACCGAAATGAAAACTCGACGCTGTGGACAACAAAGTCGACACTAAAACGTAAAATAACTAACAACACTTCTGCTATACGTAAAATTTAAATTTAAGGGTCGTCAACCGTTGAAATGTTTTAATTTTTGTTTGAAATTATTTCTGATTACAGACAGCCCGCATTTTATAATTGTAGATTTGTGCTAGTGTGCGCGGAGAGCACGTCTGAAGGTGGTTGTGGGGGTGTGAGGATGGTTTGAGTGGCACATCTTCGGATTCGCGTCGCTTTTGCCCGTGTTCTTGTTTGCTGGCGGCGCACCTGAGCAAAGGAAAAGTGTCGCGCAGGCTTGTCGCGCGCGCCCCAGGGTCATTAGAGAAAATAACGAGATGCTTCTTAATTAAAAAGTAAATAGGACGAAAAGCACATTGTAACTGTAACTATTAAATTTAAATACGACAACAAGGCTTTTACGGCGCCCGTCGCCGTCGTCGCGCTGTTTTGCGTTCCGCGTCGTCATCGGTAATTTCTTTTGCGCTTTACCTGGTCTAAGTATACACAACCAGGCAGAACAATTAGAAATTATTATTTTTATATAGCAGCATCCAACAAGTAAATAATAAAGTATTTAAAAACACATAAAATTAAACATTTGTTTAAATTTACTTGAAACACAAATTTATTTAAAAAAACTTGCTTCGCTTATTTTTGGGCGACGCGTAATTTTATAGTCAGTTGTGTACATGTTTTGCACGTCGATTCAACTATAATTCACCAATTAAAAATAACAATTTTAATTTCAACCTGAAGGATGTTTTAACGACCACGCTGCTCTCGTTGAGTTGTCGTTAAATCGCGCAGTGGAAATTATTCATCCATTATTTTCGTAATTCCATTTTACTGACAATAGGTATATCTTTAAAACAACGACAAATTTTAAGTAATGGTAATAGAAACATAACCTGGGAGTGTCTCGCAGATATAGCTTAGCAAAAGATATTAAAATAAATAAATTACTGTCATAGATACATTTTTCTGCTTCGATTTTTTCCTGCTGGGTGTCGCACCTTAACGAGAAACAGAAACAAGGGCGCGCCTGTGTTATGATAATAACGTTTAGAGTAAATTATTGAAGTCGTTCGAAGCAGCTCGTAAAATCAATACAAATTAGATTTGCGAATGTGGCGCACACTTGGCGATAGTGAAGAAGGCACGAAGCGTAAAGCGAAAAATGAAATAATTGGCAGAAATGCGACGTTATTCATTGTCGTCGACGACAACGTCGCGGCGGCGGTGGCGGTGGCGGCGAACAAGTTGGAAAATGTTTGCGCGACCAACAAGTACTCGGCAGCGCGCGTCGTGCTTTCTTATCGAATATGCTCTCCTCAGCGTGCGCTCGCGCGCTCGTCCGCCCCCGCCAGCCCTCAGCTATTTACATGTCTATACGCGGGTGGAAATTTATTAGCCTTTTAAGCTACAAGACTGCAATAAATTTGTCCGCCAGATTAGAATGTACCTTGGAAAATTTACAGCGCAACTTAAAATGGATAAATGAAATACTTCGAGGCATGGAGTGCGCCACACACACACACACGTTGAGAAAATTCAGTTATGCAGGAAGTAAGACGAAAGTTGGTTACATGCAAAACATGACATGACAGAATGCGGAATCGCTGACAACTCACAAAAGAGAATTTATACTAAATTTAATATTTATTAGTTGCAAAAAGTGAATAAAAGTTTTTTAAAATCAATTTTGGTTCGAGTGTGTGCTTACCTAACATAGCGACAGGGCTAATGTGACGTAATTTACAAAGGGACGTTATAAATAGGCAAATGCGGACATTTATTGCCGTTTCGGCGGCGGTAGCGGAGGCGGCGGTTTGCGCAATCAATGAGAGCACACAGCGGACGCGTGGGACCGAACCAACAAGTACCCGGCGCCACTTGCTTCGACTTTATGTGCGCCATGCTTTATTGGTGTTTATATTGGGCGTTTTTGAAAGCAACAAGCACTGCGAATACTATTACAATAGCACGTATAGCATTGTATGTGGAGTTGCCTACGCTAACAGTAGTCAAACACGTATAACCTCACTCATTTGATTGCAATTAGCAGTTGTAAACGTTGACGAGAATGAAGTGAAGACGCGCTAACTGGGATGATGGTCATTGCGGGTGTGAATTTGCGAAACGACGCTTACAAGCTGTTTCGACGGCGGCGATATGACCGCTTTAACTTTTCATATTCGAGCCCTCTAAATTGGATTTACGCGAGTTTAAGGGTAATTTAATAAGCAATTATCGGTTAGCATGCAGCCAAACTGCTCTTATGGCCTAATCCGGGAAAGCTTATTACTCGGGACGTGAGGGCGGCGGCGGTGGTAGCGGCGGTAGCAGCGGTGGAAGTATCGGCGATCGGTGTGGATGCAATCGAAATTGGACGCCGGATATTGTTGAAATTGTCGTTTGGGAGTCGCGCTCACCAAACGTAACGCTTCTACCGTTGCAAACAAGGTCAAACAACCAAATAACAAAACATAAAATCAACTAAAACAATTCATGTTCATTATGAAAATGAAGCCGCAGTAAAATACGAAATGATATTATGTAAAATAAGAGCATAAAAATAAAATGTGTTTTTGGTTCAATCATTTAATGAATGTTTGCGGGTTGTTTTCGTGATGTTCCTGTATGTTTGATGTCGTGCCGCCGCCGCCCGGTCTGAACCTGACGCCCGACGCGGGCGACGCTTCCCGCTGATGGTGCAATTGCGCATTGCGGCCAATTAAATGCATTCGGGCGCCGCTCGCGTCGTTTCAGTTCGGCGCGGCCCGCCGCTGATCGAATTGACTATTGTTGCCGTTTATCCCACTACCCACACCATCGTCACATACCTATACGTACCTACGTCGGTCTGTCAATTTGTGTTTTTTGTCAACGTGCGACTGTTTCGCGTAATCGCTGGAGCAATTTTTGTCGACGAAGGGCGGCAGCGGCGGTGGCACCGCCAAGTTTTATATTTATACGTCCGTATTGCGGTTTTTATGCTCGCGCGCGCCATCTACATGTGTCCGTATAATGTTAACAAACACGCACATAAATTCGCACTCATTTCTTTTTATGTTTCGCGCATTCGCGCGACGGAGCCGGGACGCAATCTTTTATAAGATGGCCGTTTGCCAGCTTCCGGTGCACCCAAACGACAATGCCGGAGAAACAGCGCTGATTTTTACAAGTTGTTGCAAAACAATGTCAAGCACAAAAATAGGTTAACACACATTTTTTTTTCGAGGATTTTTGATAATTAATATCTTCGAAACTAAAAGAGAAAGCAACCAACGAATTACTGATTATGAAAGATTGGAAAATTCTCCATCAGACAAAAATATAAAATAATAATATTTCCGATAGTGAAAGGCAAAAAAGGTGACCAAAAGTGCTAAAAAGTGACATTTTTCAATTTTTGCCCATTTTATTCAATCGCGAATATCTCATAAACTAAAAGAGATAAATAGGATCTGATCGCAGCGTCTTGATCTACGGACTATTCTCTATAAGATAGGATAGTTAAAACGTCTGAAAGATGAATTTTTAATTCTTAAGAAAAAATTGCCAAAGGGGGGGGTACTTGATACTTTTTTTTGACGATTTTCAATAATTCATATCTTTGAAACTAAAAGCGATAGCAACCAACGAATTACTGATTATGAATATGATAAAAATATAAAATAATAATATATCCAATAGTAAAAGATCAAAAAACGAGACTAAAAGTGTTAAAAGTGATATTTTTCAATATTTGGCCATTTCTTTAAAACGCGAATATCTCTTAAACTAAAAGAGATAAAAAGGAACAAACAGATTCTTAATCTACGAATGCTTGATACTTTTTTGGACGATTTTTGAAAGCAGATATCTTCAAAACTAAAAGAGGTAGCAACTAGAAATTTATTGATTATGGAAGATTGGAAAATTCGATATCAGATGGAAATTTAAATTAATTTAATTTCATGAGATAAATAAATGGTATAAACACGCGACTGAAAGTGCTAAAAATTGCAATTTTGCATCGAGCGTTAGCGCGGGCGCCGGGGAAAATCCGCGGGCCCCGGCAATCGTTAATTTTTTGCTAATTTTTTTGTGTTTGCGATTTAAGAGCGATCAGCCGGGCCCCGGGGAATTTATCCTAGTTGACCCCCCTCTCATCGATAAACAGCAAATAATTACAGCAGTAAATTTGACCGAAAAATATAATTGATTTATAAACTTACCAGTGTACAGCTTATCGGATTGCCAGGCACGAAGAGTGCTGTAACAAAACGAAAACATAAATTAAAACAAAAATATTTCATACAATTGAATTATGTTATAATTAACAATCAACACAAAATAAACAATCTGTGCTGTTTAGTTAAGAAATACATACACGAGCCTGTTGGATCTTTCTTAATGATGAGAATCAACATGGAGGCGATATATATCCGATTAATTTAGTAACCTACACCAAATACAGCGCCGAGTGAAGAATGTTATCAAAAACCGGCTTTTCCGAACAAAACAATTTATTATAGTCGCAAAGTACAAATAAATAGTCGATTGATCTTCGAGTATAACACAAATTTAGAATATTAAAGTCCGAATAAACGATATAAGTCTCTCAAAACATGACTGGATTAACCAGCGACCGGCACGAAACTGGCTGCAATCCGCCGATAGTGCATGCAGAAACTGCGTAAACGACGGACAGTACTCGTATATGATAAGAAAGCAAGAGGTGCGCAAAGACGGCGCATCGTAGATAACAGCATTGTATACAAATCTATTGTATACACGTTTGTCGATAAATATAAAAAAAAAAATAAGCCGTATAACTAGATTCTATGATTTTTAGCGCATCTTAGTGCCACCTATAAATGCGACAAATATTAGTCCTACAATTTAGACTATTATGATCAATAATTAATGTTCCCACGTGTTACCACTTTTGTATGCAGTACATATTGTCAATAAACATGTAGAGCGTCTCTTAAACTATAAGATGGCCTTTAGAAACGCACTAAATGTGTATTACTTCACGAGATACTGGCTGTTATCTGAGCCAACTTTTTGAAATGTGAAAATAATGTCGATTTGTAATTTCAAGTGATTTAAAATAATAGGACAAGAAGTCAAAAAACGCGACTGAATGTTCTAAAAAGTGAAATTTTTCAATGTTTGAACTTTTCAGACCTGTACGAATTTTGACAGTAAAATGCGATATTTTTTGCACGCAGTTTTCGATTGGGGATCTAGATTTGGGATTGTATAATGGCGCCGGGTGAGAATCGAAGCAACATTCTGTGTCGAGGACGCACTGCTGACGACGGGAACGGGGTGATGTATGGCGACAGACGGAATTAAGTGATAAGCCATCCCACTTTCGAGCTCGAGGACGACGCTTCTCACTCGCGCAGCCGATATCCATCGCATTCGCGATTCGATCCTTCCTGTTGAATGAGAGCACCCGTATGATAATCAGGACGCGCTTCTGCCATGCACACAATGCGCCGGCGAGAGATAAAACACGTGATGCAGTTGCGCACGTTAGATTTTATATCCATCGAAGCGAGAAAATTAAAATGCAAAACTTACAAATAAATTACAAAAACAAAATTGGTACAACTGACAAAAACTTTCTTTTAAACACAACAACCAAGATGGATGACCGTAAACCAAGACATTATTCATTATAATGTGCGCATTAAACAGCCTAAGATAAAATTTCCGCGTCCGCAGGCAAAAAATGCGAGTATTTCGCGCAATTGACTCAACTAAGCGCACATTACAAACAATATTAATTATCACCGAAACAAGCAAAACAACCTCGGTTTTAGTTAGGCGTCGTAGGCCCGTCTACAAGATATATTAATGGCGGCCGTTGGAATATTTAAAGTGAGGAAAGTTGAAAAAGTGAAAATAAAAGTGGCGTCATTATGCGCGCACAAAAACGGGATCATCTTCACCGGAATTTATTGCGACGTGGAAAGTGTTAAATGACGCTGAAACATCTGGATTAAGGTTGGCGATAGCGAGTCCGTTTGCGCGCACAGCACGACACCGTCGTTGTTTTGTGTGTTTCCAGGCGAGGGAGAGAGCTCTCTAAGTTTTTTCGCCTTCTTACAGCGCGCCGCACTTTGGTAATATATTACTTACGTATTTTGATTGTGCACAAGCACATTTTAATGATTTATCTATTGCTGCGACTGTGTAGCTCTGAATTTAGAAAACAGAACGATTTATATTGCGCAAATGCGCCTCGGGTTGCGGAAATAATCTGTTGATTTTAAACGACCAGCGCCATCTGTTGAGCAAATGGATCAAGCTGCGATAAAATTTTAATTCTTGCGTAGAATTAAGAGTTATCGACTCAACTGGCTGTTCGTCGCAGTAAAATATTCGAGTGGTACTAAATTTTTCAATTAGAGCTTAATTAATTTACGATTACGACATTCACAGCGCCCAGCGACGCCGGCGATATTTTGAAGGCGCTTGTCGTCGCTGGCGAAAACTTTTTTGCTGCGCCGCTTCCATTAATCTGCGTTAAAGTAATGTATCCTGTCGATGGGACGCCGCTCCCGAGCGGCTCGGAATAACAAGTTAAAATGTACAAGAAAGCACTTAAGCGTTCGGCGGGCCTATTGTGTCACCAGCATGTTCGGCCAGAGGGACAAGAACTACGTCGATGGCGACCGGGCCATAGATAATGCTCGGGCGGCGGCAACGGCGGCGCGATCCACCCACGGAGAGAGATCCAGTCGCGACGGTCGGCCCCAGTGATATATGCCTCGGTCCGTGACACACTAATGGCCGCATGTTGATTGCGAGTTTTAAAGGGGATGCACGCCGGCGATTTATGGCTGATCACTAACTCCGGCTCGTTATTTATCCTGCAAATCCTTTTAATGCGTCGCGCACCAAGCGGCCGCCGTCCGATTTTCGACGGTTATGATGTTTACATTTGTTAATTCGCATTTTATGAAACAAATGCATTGCGAAAATGAAATTGTGCAATTTTGGCATTGTATCCGGCACACATTCAGCAACGAATAGATATTGTGGGATTGCGGCAAACTTTAACTAGCCACCCACGGTTCCATTATCGTTGAAAACCTTAACGAGATTGTTTCGGGCGATTTCAAAAGAACTTTAGATCGAAAGATGGTTACGAGGACAATCGCGGCTTGTGCGGAGGGCGGGGAAGCGCACAATGAAAATGCACCCGGGCAGTCATCCCTAAAATATGAATCCGCGCTACAACGGGGCGTTATTGCCCGCTCGCATTGTTCTTGGATATAAAAATGTTAAATTGGACCCGTGTATACAGTACGACCAAAAATACACGCGACTAGAAAAACATTCAAAATAACTTTGGTATCACAGCGCGTAATAAATGTAATATTAAAACATGAATAAATTTAAACACACTGTATATGATATGTGATGCTGCTACAACAGGCGGAATACACCCCTAGACATAACAGCGCGCTGCGTATTGTATACGGGGCGAAATTCTATATATCAACACATGGCGGGCGCGGCGCGTTGTGTCCTCGACGTCGTCCTCGAGCCTCGCGCTGATCCTGGTGGCTGGTGGTGGCCGGGCCGTCGCATTCGTTTCTCGCCGCTCGCGCACTAAAATGTGTGACATGTTTTAGCGTTTGGCCATGCTCGGGCGCAGTGTGTATATCTATAGCTCTCTGTGTGTGTGTGTGCGTATTTCAGCGAGCGCGAATATTAAATTCAGTCATAACGTCGTTTTTACCCTCCAATAAATTTACATACAAAACGAGAGACCGCCCGTGCGCGCGCCGAGGAAAAACGCAAAGCGAACAACAACACTTTTCGAGTTCGGAATGTGTGTACCGGGAGGTGGAGGCAGCAACGACGGCGGCGGCGGCGTTTTATTAGGCGTACAAAAATACGCCGAATTGATGCACAACACACGGAATATAAACCTGGGAAAACGATAAACTACACGATATACATATAAATACAGATATAGATATCGCCACCATTAAATTCGATATCAACAGCGGACGTGTTTGTTTTTCGGTTGTTTTTTGTTTGCTTAATGGATTTATTTGTTACTTTTTTGATTTACAAGCACGTCAACATGTGACATGAAAGTCCGCTTTTATTTTTAGACTTCATATTCACTTTATTTAACAAATAACGCGCCAGCGAACTGTAAAAACAAAATCTGTTTCTTGTAGAAATTCTGTCTAGATTATAATCATTCTAGGTTATAGTAATTTAATTTTTATTACCCGGAATATAATAAAATATTGATTTAAAATTGATAAACTTTCCATCCAGTCACATTGAAATGTAATATTCAAAGAATTTTATTTTCGTTGTGATTAAACATGTTTTTCATCAAAAGTTTAAGCGTTGTTTTTCCTGAAAGCGCTGAAACTAATTCATAGACGCCGATGAATATTCCAATCGTGACGTCAATCGACATGAATTTATTAGCGAGCTTTATTTCTTCATAGACTTGTAAATATGTACGCTGGAGCTTGGTTATAACCATAAACGCGAGTACATATGCGGATGCACGCAATTCTCATATTTGCCCATTAGTCTTCCCGCAGTCTTCCTCTAATAAGAAGAGGAACAAAAACGCGCGCACATTGAGTAACGAACGAAACGCAAATTTGCATTCGCTGAGACATGGAATTGCAGAATAGGAAATTATGCAAATACAAGTTGATAACAACGCATAATGCTGGTTAAACATTTTTTCTAAATATTTTACGACTATTACTATTATTATACTATAACGGCAACCATTGACATTCAATATTTGTTCGTATTTCACTTCTCATGTAAAAGAAGTCACGTCATTAGACATTAGCGTGTTTAAAATAGATTAAAACACACCAAATCTAACTAAGAATTAACGTGTTTTGTTACAGTGTTAATTATCTCACATTTTACCCATTGTGACGTGTTTGTTTTTTTCACAAAGCTCCGCAATTACTCCAAACACGAATGAAGGTCATTACGCACCAAGCTGAATAAAAATTAAGGCTATAAGGACATAGTAAAACGTAGAAATTACTTACTACAAAGTTTTACACGTGGGTAAACGTGGAAAAAAAGAGAATGCACATTAAAAACACAATTGCCACTGTTACAGCTACCGTTACTGTTGAATATGTTAATATGACTCGCGTGTAAATGAGCATTAATCAGATTGAAGGGCGGTGGCGGTGGCGGCGCGTATCGCGGTTGCCGCGCGTTATCTAGATGCGTTTTACTTTCGTA